TTTCTCCTATCGCCCAGAGAAAATTCTTTTGAAATCCTAGCTACATTTGAATCTGAGCCTGGAGGTCTGTTTTACTAGATCTCAAGTAAGTTCCTTTGAGCTTAATCTTTAAATTTCAGTTTTATTTCTCTATTTTTCCTTTCTCAAAAGTACTCCACTTTGAAATATATAGGAAGAACTTAGTCTTTGGACAACCTCTTCTACGAACTTTTCACAAAATCATCTCTTCAAGGTAAAGAGAGTTATATTCCATTATAAAAAAAATTGTATATATATTTTGTGCTCACAGAAGTCTAATAGTGTGGTTCTTTATTTATTAGATATATGTTTATATGAGAGTTTTGCTATTTGTTAGAGTTGATGATGTATATTTGGTTGATCTTGAATGATTAAATGTAGTTTCCTTAAAATACATAATTTGGACTAAGTCCTAATGTGCATGACATTAGCCACTATTTGTTTGACAGAATGATGAGAAATGGACGGATGGAAACGTAATATTAGTAGTTGTGAGGAAAAAGAATTAGTGTGAATGATTATAGAGATACAATGAAGTATAGAGTTTGAAGACTACTTGAAAAATCTAGGGAAACGAGGGTGATGAATGCTTTTTGTAATGATTATGTATGAACCGATGAAAATGAAAGCATAACAGGTCTCACATTCATTTCTCAACTAGACTTCTAATTATGCTTTTGCTAAAAGGTCCATTATTGTACATGTGCTATCCGACGACCATTTACCTATATGTATAAGACCTCATAGAATGTAAAAGACAAAGTTTGACTGTGAATACAGTGTACGAAGAAGTGCATATATGATAGAGTGACAAATTATTTGACATAATTAATGTACATGAATTATGATATTGCAAATGTGATTATTCTTGTGTTTAATGCTGTGAAAGTTCAAATTTGTTATTTTGATCATGTTTTAGTGGTGAGGGAAGACTCGTCCTTACTAATAATTTCAAAAAACAAGGATGATCACACCTTAGAAATTCATTAGGTTGATTGATTGAAATGTAGAGAGTCAATTAAATTATATGTTTAGAGAATGACAGTGAGTCTGCCACTATAAATTTATAGTAGTTAATGAAATGAAGTTCGATGATGTTTGTATCTTAAAGATTATCGTAGAATGTTCCTTTTAACTACCCTAATAGTGGCATAATACATCGCACCTTCAACTTGTATATATATAGAAGGATAGTTTAGACTCCAGATGCTGTAAAATATATATATACTTTTTATAATCATGACTACTTTGGAAGACCAATCTGTTTCACTAGAGAGTAAATAACCGAAACAGAGATCATTGGAAATACTGGAGATTATTTTGAGGAGCACCTGACACTTTAAGAGCTGAAAGAGATAGAGGGCTGATTTGATGAAGATTAGGATCTTAGTCCCAATATTTTGGCATGGGAGTGATCTACTCATTAGGACTTCAGTTATTTTGATTTGGTAATTATATAAATGAAGTCTTAATGTATTTTAGATTATGATATGTAAATACTAAACTTTTGTATCTGAATGAAAGTCAGTGTGTGTATATTTTTTTCCTGTTCAATTGAAATTTTATTTAGCAAGTCGTGATATAATGACAAATATTTATCTCATCTCATTTCAAATATATTTGCATTTTCACAGTTTGAATAAATAAAGTAAGAGTTTTAATTTTTCATAAATTTTCATGCTACAAGTATAAAGAAATTTACTTTATTTTCTATTTTTATAAATTATTATATAAATTGAATAATAAATTAAGGGCGCTATAATGAACATTGAAAAAGTGAAGAGTGATACCTTACTTGAACTTCACAATGACATCTATGCCTAAAAAAAGGTTGTAAAGCCAAATGAGCTTTCTCAAAAGTAATAAAAGGCACGAGTTTCTCTAAACTTAATTTAGCTAACTTATCACTACAAGACTCAGCTTTATAAGATTGAATCACCTTCGCTCTAAAACAAGAAACTCATGAATTACTTTATTAATTATTTTGAGAAAATCAACATGTGTACATAAATTTTTAAGTTAATAAAATGTAACACATGAATTTAAAAATTTAAAATTATCAAGTTTGTTGACACAGCAAGTGTCATAAATTATTTGTTTAACTAACTTCTGTGCCGAAATTTATTCATTTTGCTTTCAAAATGAATATTAAAATTTTAATTGAGTGCAGAATTAACATAAAAGTGAAAAAAATAATTATATATATATAAGACATATAAAAATTATAAAAACAATAATATTCTAAAAAATCGTCGACAAAAAGTTGATTAAAACAACGTAAACATAACAGTTAAAACTGATGAGTTATAACAAGCCAGCGTAATTTGACTATCTGATCCATTGCATTGTAAGTATCAACTTAAGAAATTATAAATTAAAATACCCAACACGAAAAATAATTAATAATTACGCAGCACACTAAACACGGTTATGAAGTTAAGCTCGATTCTTAGCTTTTGTAAATGCATGTGGTTTCATCTCGAAGCTTTATCCACCGTAGACGTGCATGCTTTACATATGTATTATCAGTTTTGAAAGAATACTTTATTAATATTATAGGGTAGAGTGTAAGAATATATTACCAAAATTAATGAAATAATTCCAAAGTTTAATTCTAACAACCCAAGTGTGAACATGCACATGTGCACCATGCAAAGGGATAATGTTAATTTCTATAATCTGTGTGAGATTTTAATATTTCATCGCCATTCATTGTAGAACTATTAAATTAACAACAAAGTTTCTTGATAGAATAAAATAATTTTAATATCCAGTTCTTAAAATAACTTTCACGTTTGTATAATAAAGAAATATTATTTATAATAAATTCAAATCTGTTGATTTATAATTATTTATTTTCCCATCGGATAATGTATTTTTCTTATCCTATCGTACGGGGAAACAAGCCCCGTATATATAATTTGACTATCACGTGCTTTGCATTGTAAATAGCTACTAAAAAATATGCAAATTACGACAGGCAACATAGAAAACATTATTAATTACGATGCAAAGATGGGGAAGGTTTATCCACTGTGGACGTGCATGTTTTCCTATGCATTACTATTCACGTAAGGCTATAAGAAACTCAAATATTATTTATAATAAACTAATATCCGTGAGTCTATAAAAGGGAAGGGAAGAGCTGGGCATTCCCACAAGCATTCCCTCAACCACAACAACAGCTCCTAAGAAAAAAAGAAACAGCTACACACATATCGATCCATAATGGCCACGAATCCGATATTCAGAGAATACATTGGTGGGAAGCCATACCCAGATGATTTAAATGATTTCCCTGATATAATCAATACCAAATTGGATGAATTCCACTTCCTTCTGGCCTCTGCAGTAGAGGAGTACGACAGCAATGGAAAAGGCACGGGAATATTCAGGCAGAATTGGAACGAAAGGTACTTTGGTGCTGAGCATATCAAGGAACTGAAGAGAAAGTACAGGTACGAAAATGTGAAGGTGAAGGTGATGATAAGCATTGGAGGTCGTGGAAATGCATTTGATCCTGCTGAGAAAGAAGTATGGCCCGACAGGGCCAGAGATTCACTAGAAAAGATCATCCAACACTACCAAAGGCTTGATGCTATAATTGATGGCATTGATATAAACTATGAGGTGGTGAAGACCAACGAGACTGACTTTGCCCACTGCATAGGTTCAGTTATTGATGCGTTGAAGAATAAGGATAAAGTGATAAACGAAGTGTCCATTGCTCCATCAAAAAATACTCAGTCCCATTACCTTAAATTGTATCGAGCTCACCAGAAAGATGTTCGCTTGGTTGACTACCAGTTCTACGATCAGTCTGTGCCCTCAGCGGCTGACTTTGTAGCTCTCTTTCGTCAACTATCAGATGAGTACCAAGAAAATATACTCTTGGCAGGATTCAGCACTGATCCAGATGACTCAGGTAAACTTTCCCGAGAGGTCTTCATTGAGGCTGCCACCGACCTCATCAATACCGGTTCACTCCGTGGCATTTTTGTTTGGGACGCTAATGACTCTGCAGCTGCTGATGACCCTTTCTTCTTTGAGATCAAGGCTCAAGATCTCCTCGTTGGCTCCGATTCCAAATAGAATTTGAATCCTTGTCACTTTGGTTTCCATCTGACGGGTCAAGCAGTATAATAATTTTAAATAAGACCTGTTGTATCTGCTGTTGTTTTTTTTATTAATGTACTTTGTTTCTGTTACTCAAGTCACTTGGTTGGTCATTTAGTTTGTTTTCTCTTGTATCATTGTTGAAATCAACGTGAATTGATCAATCACTTATATCATTGTTGAAATCAATCTATTTTACATTGTTATTTGCATTATAGCAATGTTATAATTGTACCATGGCTCAATTAATGTGAAATAAAAGTTATTTGGTCACCTTTTTCAATTTCACAATGTTATCTACTTGGGTCAAATTGGTTGTATTCTTTTGAATAGCTTGTAATTATCATTTTTTTTCAAAATTTAATGTGCTTATTGGCTCGTAATTGCATAAATTTTAATTGAATTCTCATTTTTAGAGAAGAGAAAAAGTATTCAAATGAACTCTTATAGATTAGTTTAGATTATCCTTAACCTCTCCAAAAATGTAGACAAGGCATAATATTTTTGTTATAATTATAATCAAACATACTCCAGCTAAGTTGAATATGATCACTTATTGGCCCGGAATTTCGTTTAGATATTTTAAATAGTTTTAAATTGCCATCTTATTTTAGTTATTACCTTTTGCGTATTACGGCATCCATGCAACCACACAATTTTATATCATGGTTCATAATATATAAGAAGAAATCATGTAATTCAATAAAGAAGAAAATAATGTCTAAAGATATTCTAATTTATAGTAATTTCTAAGAATGTTCTCATTTAAGAATGATGATAAGATTTTAAAATATAGACAGAAGTGGATGGATTATAGATCTAGTTTCATTGAGACAATTATTATAACTAAGTACCTATGGAATCAACTAAGGTAATTTTTCAGCATCATCTTCAGTTATTGAACTTACTTCTCCAATGCCCCTGCTACTACCCACATTCTTCCAACTACTTCCAAATGAGATCTCACCGTCATAGGTTCCTCTGGTGATGATCTTGCGGTTCTCTTCCTCAGTAGTTGTGATTTCTAACGTGGAATGACTTGATATCTCTTCCTCATAAGTAGGTGTAATCCTCTTTTCCACCTTTCCACTTCCAAAGGTGGTAGGAGAAGGATGGCTCATGATGACCATATTATCTGGGATATGCATTCTCTCCCTTAACCCTCTCTTTGAATTTTCACTTACTTTGGAACGTAAAGAATCTGAGTGTCTACTTGATGTTGAATTGTTTTTAGACAGATATTGCTTAGTCCTTTTGTGCCAATTTTTAAGGCCTTGAGAAACACCTTCTGTTAAAATTGATTTCTTCATACCAGAGCCCATCTGTGGCATGTATATTGCAAGTTGTGAGATAATCATTGATTTAAATGAACAATCTAGCTTTGATTAATTAACATCAATTACAAGCCAATTTAACATAATCATTGTCAAATTAAAGTCAAAATAATATATATATTTTTGGAATTTCATAAATTTGACAAATAAAAAGGCGAATATGATGCTAATAATTAGATAAATGAACACCATAAGGATTTAATGTATGTTTACTTGAGTAACTAGTGCATAAAGAGGGAGAGTGACATATCCACAGAGGAGCTGCACAGCTACACCCATGGCAATCCTTATGGCGATGTCCTCTTTTTCTCGATTGAAGCAAGACCTTGGACCAAATTCATACTGTTGCTTGTGAATAGAGTCAGCATAAAATGTAAACAGGTCTTTTTGTGCACAAATTACTTACCCAAGTCCAGGTGAAGAATGCAAGTTGAAAGGAGTTCTGCCAAAGATCATAAATGCTGTTATTATTAGGTTATCATGCATAGAAACACATGCATATTTATTTTCTTTCAAATTAATCACAGCTAATAAATTTCCTGTGCACTACATAGAAATTATTAAATTAAATAAAAAATTAAACAAATAATTAAAAATATATTGTATGAGTATTTTAAAATATAATAATTTTTATAAGTTAAAAAACAGTAAATCTTGTAGAATCAAGTGATAATGTTTTAAATTTAAAACAAAATTATAAATAATTTAATTTAATTTAACATAAAATTATAGAATCAATATTTATTATAAAAAATTATTTTTAAAAGCACTCACATTAAAAAAAAAATCTTAGAAACGCTCTGGTTTAAAATTTAATAGGTTGGTAGACTTCAAAATTTGTGTTAAGCTCTATCTCGGCAGAATGCTGATATCCTGAAAAGTATATTATATGTGGTTAACTATCTTAGCTATAAAAATTTCTGCATCACATCTTACTTATATAAATACGTTACATTTTACTTCTCTTAAAGGTAGTTACTGTAAAACCTGTTGGAATATGGTTGATAATGATGAAAGGTGTTAATATATTCATCTACCTGAATAAGGATGAACTTGAGTAAATGGAGAAGCCATTCAGGTCGGTGAAACCAGAAATAATCATCATTGGGTCTCACAAGCAGAGTTCCTTTGATCACTGGGTTTTCCTTGCAACTATCTACACACATCTTAGTTATCACGACTTGCAGTTTTGTCCCAGCAAGCAAAGCAACCTTCAATGCAGAATATGAAAGCAAACTAGAAAGAAAGTCACAAAAGAAGGGGAGAAAACAAAATAAAATTCACATTTCTACAATCTATTCAATGTGATGGACAAAATGATCGATGTGAAATAGTATCAACTTTACCACAAGTGGAATAAATGGAAGCCAGTAGTAATTATAGAACACTGCAAACAAAATGAAATCATTGTTAAACACGGATGATTTTGTTGCGAAAAATACCTTTATGTCACAAATACATTCGTAGGTAAAGTAGGCACAAGAATGGTGACAACTTAAAACAACACGTCATACCATGTGCAGTCAGAAATATGAAAAGTACGGAGAAAATCCAGATCCAAAGCCTGCAAGAGAATAAAAAATTCATGATGGTTTTGTAATTTATTCTTGCAACTAAATTAAAGAACTGCTTTATAAATATTGATGTGGCTGAAACTTGTCCATATATGACTAGGAACCAAGTTTCTGATCCGATCATAGGGAGTACCTGATTCCAACAACCTTCTCAAAATCTTCATCATAAGAGCGGGAAAGAAATTTCTTGAAGTTGAAATTGCTGCCTACAGAAATATTAGCCTGCAGTTTCGGGAAATAAAAGTTTTGTTTGGTGTCACGAGAAAATAAGGATGCATTTGAACATACAGCTTAATTAAAATAATTCTTTTTTTGCATAATAACGTATGTCATAAATTTAACTAAAAATCTTATTCTGATACATTAAACATTGTTTATTTTAATGAGTTATACTAAAAAATATTAAAATAAGATGAAAAAAAATTATAAAAGTCATAAGTTATTTTTATAAGCTGTGTATAAATTTTTTTACAAATGGACCTAAGTAGTATGTTATTTGACAACTTACATTATAACGAGGCTCGGTCCAGTAGAGTCAAGACCTATCTATAAACAGTAAATTTTATCTAAATTCTTGATGCTTCAAGAGTATCATGAATTCCTAGTCAGGGAGTTGGAATACATTATTCACTTACTGCAATGAACCCATTTCGTAGTGTAAAGTAATCATCTTTTGTGACTGAGCCATAGAACTGCCGAATAAAACAAACCTGTTGAATACAGTATTTATGACTTTATTAGTCAGTGTAGCTAAATATTTTCTAGTTATCTTTAATATAAGAATTGAAACACTGGTATTTGTTAAGAGTTCAAACTTCCTAAAATCAGATGAAAAGAAAGACAATAGAAAGGGAGAAACAAAGAAAGTAAGAATTAATATTTATTTTGAGTTAAAAATGATTTCCTAATAAAATTTGCAGACAAACTCAAAATACTTTAAATCTTGATAGTGGCCTTCTAAACTTCAAAATTTTCACTCATATTCACTTACCATCCAAAGCAAGGGACAATAATTACTCCAGAATTTCAAATGACGCTTGCCAACCAATGTTTGACCTATGTACTGGAACCTTCTTGAATCTATAATCAGAAATAAACTGAAAGTGAGTAATTATCCATTTTAATTTCTTGAATTATGAGTGTAGATTACTTTAATCTTTAACTTCAGAAAAATTTTACTTTAATCTTTAATTTTTTAAAAATCACTCATTTCAGTCTTTTATTTTATTTTTCATACTCATTTTGTATGTATATATAAAAAAAAACAATGACTAAAATGAATGTTGTTTTATAGAATTTAAAATTAAACTGAAATTTTTAAAAAATAAAAATTAAAGTGGTTGACGTTTGCAATTTGATATATTCAAATGGATATTCACTCAAAAATAAGATAGGGGTTGATTTCTATTACAAATTTACCTCACTTCATTCCCTATATATAATAACATATCAAGAAATTAGGTTACCGTTAGTCATCCGATATTCAAGTGTTCGAGTCTCGTCCTCCCATTTTTCCCATCTTCTCATCTGTCATACAAAACTATGATATCAATCATGCAATCACCTAATAAATTTTTTCATAGATTATGTTTATCGTGAAAGCCAAGTTTAGTTAGTGCTAGGTATTTCAGCACTTGGTCGCGTCTTGTTCTTTGATTTTCTCCCATATATTATTCAAATGCTTCATCTGGGAAGAAGTCAATATACTGAGTTTTATGCTTAGATTTTTCCTCATATTTACAGACACATTAAGATAAATGTTGACGGAACAGTGGGGGGGGGGGGAAGTAGAATTACATTGATTAATAGTGCTTATTTCATGTTAATTATGACATAACTAATAGTAGTTTTCCAATTACATCGTACCCCCATCACCCAATTAGAAAAGGAAACGCATACTACACAATCACGTTAAATCTCCACATATTGTGTTTCTTGAATCTTTTCCGTTCATAGCAAGTGAAGTCGGAATATATATCTCCACATATGGTTATATTTGATAAAATTAGCTGAAAGTTTTTAATTTATAATTTGTAGTTGATATGTTAGCCAAAAAATTATAGTTTGTAGTTAAAAGTTTAAAATTTATAATCATTTTATTGAATTAAGGTTGTTTAATAAAATAAGTTGTATAACTAACTAAAATATATTAAGTGACTTTAAAAAAATATTAACATTATTTTATATGCATATAAATTGTTTTAAAAAATAAAATAAAAACAATATTAGTAATCAATTTTGAATAAATTAATGATAATTTGAGTAACCTTTTATAAATTAATTTTAAAAATTATAAAGTCTATTTATTTTTTATTCACTATATTGACTAAAAAACTAAATTAATTACAAACTCCAAAATAAGTTATAAACTAATGTTATAAAATAAATACACTCTATATTTTATCACTAAAATGAAAATGTCATTTTTTTTCCTTCTAAATAAACGCTATGCCGGCTAATCAATTTAAATTTGGGCACATTAAAATAGAATAGTGATCATTTTTCTGAATCAGTTTTTATATATTAACTATTTTTCTACCTTTATTAAAAAAAAAACTTCTTTTATTTCTTTTTTTTTTCACTTCTTATGAAGTGATTTGAAACTTTTGAAGAAATTAAAAAGAGTGTGTTTACATAAAATCAACCAAATAGTATTTAAAATAAAAAAAGTTGCATTTGTCATACCCGTGTGTGTAATGAAGAATGTTTGGATAAATATTTTGATCAATGAATTAATTACAGAAATATAATATTTTTAAGAGTTGTGTTAAGCTCAGTTAAGCATTTATAAATAAAAAAATTTATATATATATATATATATATATATATATATATTATTCTAAAGTTATAAAAATATTATAAAAATTCTTTACTATTATTAATCATTTATCTTTGTACTTATGTTAATATTAGTCATTTTTAATCATTTGTTTCATAAAAGAATATTGAAAAAGGTTAATTCTAACACACGACTCGAAATATTAAAAGTGAATGTAGAAACGAGCAAAAATTGATTTTTCTAGTTCAATAAGATAAACAAAAAATGAAATTTGACTTTCTAGTTTGCGTGGCTCTATCAATTTAAATTGTGGCACATTAGGAAGGTCGGTCAGAATACATAAATAATAAAATAGGATAAACGGTAGGTAGCCATGACAAATACCTTTTGTTGTGTATTCAAACTTCAATTCAAACCCATTTTTAATCGCATTTATTTAGGGATTTGGCTCTTGAAGAAAAAGATTTACTTTTAGAAAATAAAGTAAATGTATTTAATATCTGTATACGCATACATGTGTATATGTATTTAATCATAATTCCAATCATTAATTTTTAATTAAAATTATTACAACTCTTCACTAAATCTTATAAAGTGAATCTCTTAAATTAGATAAATTCATCGTGGAAATCCCATTTAATATTTGTGGTTCACAATAATTAAAATATTGAATTCATTAAGGGATTAATCAAATTCTACTTTAAGCAGCTTAAACCGTAAGGTGATGGTGGACAAGTAGTGGTCAGATATGCCTAAGAAGGTTGTATTCTTTGCAATATAAATGTTGAAAGTGATGTCTTATGTTCAAACTTCTAGCAACTAGAAAAGTCCAGGTCGTACGTGTTATCAAAACAGTTGCATATTTCTATTATTGAATTTGAAAAATCTTATATATTGACATTTCTTCCTTCTATAATTTCTACATGATTGAAAATGGTGAACATCATACCTTTGCCTTCCCAAGGCACATCGTCAATGTGCAGAACAGGATATGAAACACTGCCAAAAAGGATATGAATATATTTAGCTGCAGAATCCCATCACTTGAAACTAAACTAACCATGCCCTGCACTCATCAGTAATCATAAATTAATGATACATATAGGTATCAAACGACCTCTTTGTGCAATATTACATATTGTGTATACACAAAAGGAGAAAAAAATAACAACTTTATTTTTAAACTTTGTAAAGCTAAGATGTTAGGAATAGCCACAACACAGCATATTAAAAAAATAAAACTTCACTTGTTTCAAGTGACCATTCAATTATACATAGCACAGTAAGAAATTTTAATAATCAATTAAAAGTTATTAATATTATATACATATCTATCTCATCACTAATTTGTTAAGATTTATTACCTACATTTTAATATAAACTGTTGTGTTTCTTGCTTTTTCCCTTAAGTAAAATTATTCATTATAAAGGAGGCAAATGCGTCATCTAAAGAAATTTTTAAGAAAGTGCCAGGATGAAATATTAGGAGTCTCCTCCATTTGAATGTTTTCTAATAAATGTTTGCAGAAGAAAATAAACAGGGTTAATAAGTTAATTTCTTCTACAAGTTATATACATCATTTTTTTGTTTTATAAAACATCTCTAAGAATGTACACACATAAGTAAATTTTAATTTATAAATTTTTTTTATTTATTTTATTCCTTTATTTTTATCAATGAGTATTTAATAAAAAGTTTACCTAAAGAATGAAACTTAAGATGCTTTTAGCATTGTTTTATATTAAATAATAATAATATTGATCACTTTAAGAACAAGTTTTGTCATCATCTAACCTATTAACCTTACGTACCCTTGCTTCACAGTAATTGACCTGATTTGCTGATTCGTTGGAAGTAGGTGCTATGTCAATTTCTGAGTTTGAAGCACGAGTTGCTGAGGGCGACGTTAATCCTGTTGAGTTCACAGAATCTTTACATGGGAGGAATGAATTTGCCACTGCCTTGTTGATGCAGATTTTGGATATGGGCACTTTCAATATTGTGAGAAGAAATGACATGAAACCGAATTTCATCATCTCTGTTATCGAACCCCAAACAGCAAACAAATCAAGCTTTTCATCAAAAACATGTTTGTTTCACAATAGCTAATAAGAAATTGCTCATAATTGAGAAATGTAAAATGGAAGTTACAAACATAAGACCAACCTGTTTTGGTTTTAGTCAAAGCCTTCCCCAGAGATTTTCTTTTTCTTTTCCTGAGAAGCTGTGGCACGATTATGCACGCAAAAACCAAAAGAAAGAAGTGTGAAATAAAGTGAATAATAAGATAATAAAAAAAAATACTATAAAAAATTGTTATAAAATGTGTTATGAGAGTAGACTACATGCACGACCTAATCAAAAGCCTGACAAACCAAAAGAGAAAATATTAATCACAAAGCCAAACAATTTCAATCCCTATTCCACCTTATGCTTACTAGATGTATTAGGAAGCAATATATTTATTACCTCAGTCAATTTGTGGAGACCGCCATCAATGATTATTGATATGATAAGGAAGAAGCAGCAAAATATTGAGATAGCCCATGTTGGCGTATGTTCAAGAGATCTTTCCTCTCCTATGTCCATAAGTACTCGCCTTTGATCTTCGTTATAGTATCTCAAGTTTCTCCTTACCTATATATTCTTTATATATCTTGAGACAAGTGAAGAGCTAGAATTATGGTGTGTAAGCATTCATCATGTATATATATACATATACATGATATATATGATACGATGGTTAATTGAGAGCAAAATTGAGGAGAAGAACTTTGTAAAGAAGGAGGTGGGCCAAGCTCGAGGGGTGTCACTAACTCAGTGGAAAACACCAACTTGGGTGGGTTGAAGTACCATTTTATAGAGATCGCGTATGGTAGTCGTATATCCAAGGAAGTTCACCATCAAATCAACAATTATTATATTTTTACATTTATTTTTTATCTTTTTTATACATTATTTAGCACGTTTTTATTTTAATTTTTCTCTTTTTTTCACCCATAAATAAGTTTGAAATGATCTTTTCCCTTGAATTAATAGCACAAGAAAGAAAAATAGAGATAAACCAGTACTACAACTCTACAAGCAACAAAAGATATCTGATATTGTAAAATCTCAAAACTCCGTACACTGAACTGAACGCGGAATTTGGCTTCTTGCTGGTAGTCAGAAATGTCAAAAATAAATCCTCAACGTGTCAACCGTTTGCACCCAAATTAAAGGCCAAAGTCACTTGCTTTTCACTTCTATACGATTCAAAAATGAAATCTGACTTCTTTCCAAATATACATTTCTCAAGGGCAAATCTTACCAAAATTTGCTATAATATTATATTTGGACCTGTTTTCTCTATTTAATTCCTCATTTAGCATATCTTCAAATCGAAAAATAATATCTTTCAAGATAGAAAGTATTAAAGTAAATTTTATCTCTTTTAATAAATTATTTTTCATGTGCAATTATTTTGGTATAGTTAGACTCTATTAATTATATATATATATATATATATATATATATATATATATATATATATCATATACATCAATATGCATAATTTTATTTTATTTTTTTGCTTTGATGTGCATAAGTTTTGATTAAACTAATAATAATATCTAGTCTAGATGCTATGTATAACAGACTTTATCTTATGTATATTTTTGTAATTTTTTGTAAGTTTTGATTTCATCGCTTTACAATAGTTAACATACTTCTTAATCATATTATTTTTTTACTCTTTTTTATTACTTACAAAATTTACCATTTTCTTTTAGTTCTATCAAATTACTCATTAAATTTATTATTTTTTATACTACTTTTTTTTCTCTCATGAAATATATATACTTTAAAAAATGTGAAAGAAACTCATTTTTTAAAAAAATGATTTATAATTATATTTTACTTAAAAATTTAGAATTGATAATTACACATTTATTTGGTTAGATAAATTATTTTAAAAAAAATTTAAGAATTTTTTTGTCTGTTTACCTTTAATTAAAATAAATATCACCACATAAACATGTATTTATATTTTTATCAGCTTTATTAATAAATAAATTATATATATATATATATATATATTATTTTATCTAAATCTGTTAGCAAGACTTTAAAAAAAATGATAAAAAGTATATGTATCTATGAAAAATATTTTTAAAAAAATATCACATCAGTTTTTGAGTAATTTATATAATTTTTTATTAAAATAAAATATTTATAAATTTTACTATCTTTAATTTTGTTTTTACTAAATCTAAAATATTAAATTGAATTTTAATTATTTTAATGAAATAAAATATTTAAAAATTAAAATTTTTATATTTATTTAATTATCAATGTTTAAAATTAATTATCCCTAGCAAATTATTGGAAGTATAAATAATTCAAATAAATTGTGAAAAAAAATCATAATCATATATACTGTTTAAATAAAATTATATTTTCGTATTACCCATGTTCTCCAATATTCATGGAGAATTTGGATCACAATTCTTTACCCTTAAATGTAAGATTCTCCTGCTTTCCTCTTTTGCTACGGGATCTTATAGGATATTGCTTTCCATATTTTATCAGCATAAACACTATATAAGGGGACTCCCCCCATGTATAATGATCCAAGCTTACTCATATGCACTACTATTTGATCGCTTGAACATTGGAGCGATTTGACTCTTTGTAAGTACATCCCAAAATAATACGTACATCCCATCTTCATCACCACTCCATCAACACCAAGCCACGTGGTAGGAGCTGATCCACCCAAAATTTAAAAGTTCAGATTCCAATTAGTAAGATCACTTTTTCTTTCATTTTTTTTATGACCTACCCCTTTTTTTTATTTCTATGAACGCCAATATATTAAAAAAAATTCCCTTAATACTCACATTTTATATAATACAAAGATTTTAATACTCACATTATGAAGACAAAGTTTAAGAATTTTTTATATGAAATTGAATTCAAATTGCTGATTTTATCACAAAGAGAATTAATCCATATATAATAGAAGCAACGGGTAACTGAAATAATAAGCTAACTAATTAAAGCGTATAAAATAATAAAATAAGCTAATCATAACTATTCGTTAATATTCTCTTCTCAAGTTGGATAGCACATATTTATGATGCTCAACATGGAGAGTAAATGCTTGAATTCTGCGTAGGGCAGAGACTTGGAAGGATATATGAACTTGATGTTGAGTTGATGTTGGGCTCAAATGCGGAAAACTTGGATGTGTAAATTAAAATTCTGACGTAAACTGGCGAGCAATAATTCAGACCTAATAAATAGATCTAGCAGCGCAGCGGTGTAACTTGTAAAATGTGCACTGGAATACTTTCTAAGAAAGAGAGGTGGATCACAACGGATCACTTCAATACCAAGTCTTTTCTTAGCCAGAACCTTTCCAGTTACAACACTAATACAAATACACACTTCTCCAGCAATCCAACAATCAGCCACGGAAGGATAACAGAAATAATTCTTTTCTGATGTGGAAGATCAGACTAAACTGCAATCACAGAGCATACTAAGAATTTATTCTAACTGAATAAAATAAGCAGATAAAGAACACCAATATTTAACGTGAAAAACCTCCAATGTGGAAGAAAAATCACGGGACAAACTCCGAAAAATATTCCACTATATCTCGGGATATTTACAATATCCTTTCAACACTCTATCACACAAGAGATGTAAAATATAGTGTACCCAGTGAGACCCACTTCCTATTCAAATATTACAAATTTTGTAATACCAAGAAGAAATAGAGATGATACCCACCCCAGTGTATTTTTCTCACACTCTTAGGATTTACTCAACACTCTATTTTTCTCTCACTAGAATTCTATCAATGCTTGATAAACACTCTTGCGATGCATCCTCTGATTTCATTCCTCACGGCTATTTATAGCCAAATGAAGTTACTATTCACTTATTAAAATATTATTTATTTGTTTAGGAAGTAAAAAAAAAACAGCACCAAATCACCGAAATGTGCTGGACATCACAGTTGATACATGGATCAGTTTAATTTTTCAAAAGTTTTCTTATGAAATGATTGTCAGTATTGATGTGTTTTGATCTCTTATAATGAAAGGATTTGATGTAAGGTGTAAGGTAGACTGATTGTCGCAAAACCACAAAAGTTCGCTGTTGATCTTTGAGATTCTAAACAGTTGCCCCAATCTGGAGATTATATAATCCTTGAGTTGGAGATTACTTAAGATATCAAAGGAAATAATGTAAAGCATTAAGATGTGGTGCTTTAAGAGAAGACATACACTGACTAAGTTTATGGACTGAGAAAGCAATGTTTGGACGTGAAATAGTAAAGTATATGAGACGAGTAATGAGTTTCTTGTATGATGAAACATCAGAAAACAAGTCATTGTTAGTAGCAGTTAATCTACGATTTGGATCCATAGGAAGAAATGAAAGCTTGGCACCAAAAAAACTAATATAATCTATTATTTTCTGTGATAAAGAGATTACTTGAGAAGTGTCACTATTTATAATCTTAAGAAATACTTTTAAGTTTCCCAGCACCTTAAGATCGAACAATAGCTGGAGCTTCAAATAGCATACAACACTGTAACCAAAAAATAACATACAACACAAATTGCTTGTGCTACACATCACCAAACAACAGATATTACAAAGAAATTATACCGTGCTATTATGGGTAGTACGCGGTCCTTCAATGTACAAAATAATTACTCTTAAACTGTTGAAGACTGGCATCATTATTATTTTTATTTGGGCCGAAAGCTCAAAAATTAAAAATGTTGAGTAACCCATGTATGGTTGGTCCAGGAAGGAAACAAAACTGGGATCCCAATAACTTGGCATTCTATACAACCTATTTGGGCTTATGTTTACTTGCCAGAATTGGGCCAAAAATTGGACAAAAGCATGACATTCTAAGATCACGTAATCTCTTTTTTTCTTCTTGGAAAACCTTAGAAGAGTTTTGTCCCCCCTCCCAGCAAGCTCTGTCCCTCCATGGGAGTTACATGGATTTTTTCTTCTCTTTTATGAGGGTGTTTTTCCCTCTTTCTTCTCTTTTCTCTCACCCAGCTGTCCTCCAACTGTCAATTTCCTTTTTCTTTTTCTTTTTTCTCCTTCTCCGTCAACTCAATTTTTCTTTTCTATTATATTTTCCCCACTTTCCGAATGTTCTTCAAAATCATTGTTTTTATTTCAATTCATGGCTAAGGCAACTCCATTTGTAATTTTTAGTTTTTCTTTACTATTTTAGTATGACGCTTTATTGTTAATCGGTAGAGCGTTGAGTCAAAAATAAAAAATAAAAATAGAGACAATACAATGAAAGAGTAATACAAATAGAAAAAAAAAATCTTATATGGAGTGAATGATTTAACTTTGGTAATAAAGATTAGTCACGATTATAGTATGTATTTCCTTATTTTTGTGATATATATAGTAAGCATGTTGTGTTATGTACTGCTTATGTATTGAAAAGTTTTGTAACACTCTTTGAGAATTGTAATTGTTCTTTCTTTTGTGTAAGTGATGGTAGAGTACTACTCATGAATAGATAATTTTGTTATTTAAAAGAAAGAAAGATGATGTTATTTGTTATTTGTGCTTAACAATATAAACTATTAATAGTTTATGAATTCGTCTCGTCCTGTACTGTTTGTTAATTTGCGCACATGCTACAAATGAGAATTTCTCAGCTTTCAATCCCATGGATACCTTTTCGGAATCTTGGTCAAGGAATCTATCAATTTATGTGTAACAATTGCAAGATTCAAAACTAGTTTTTTAAAAGATAGAAATTACATGTGTTTTCATTAATTTGATCAAATACAATGTTTCCCCGTAAGTGCGGTGGGAGACATCATTATTGCAACTAAATATGTTAAACATTTCACTCAACGACATGATAAAATACAGACCAATAAATAGAGCCTTTATTGATGATAGAGCACTGGCCCTTCTCATACTAGTGCTTTTCAAGTGGTGATGATACATAGATTTAAGAATTGTTGTTAAGGATAAATCTCAATGAGAGACCTTAAACCCAACACTGGAGTTATTTTGTAGTCACTGAAACCAGCTGAGAAAATCAGTTTGGCCCATTCTTTCTCATTTCTCTCTTTTCCAGGGTACAACACCATCACAACACCATCAACAAAGAGCTGTGTTTCAATTGATTCATCATCTCGTTTTCCGTCCTCCATCACCATGTCTATGATGATCACCTTTTGTTCTTTGCCTTTGTTCTTAATTGCTTCCTTGCAATTCTTAAGTATTTTCAGACACTGCTCATCATTCCAGTCATGCAGGATCCACTGTATTCCATTCAAAGTAACAATTAATCAGTGGTTTAACTTATTTTCTTTCTTTTTTATCTTTTGTGTTGGTCGACATTATAATAGGAGGAGGCTTTTTTAACTTCAATTACTTAACAATTATAAGAGATACAGTTGAGATAAATATTTTATGCAGGTAAATAAAGACTGACTAAAAAACGTTCGATACGTTTGCATAGTTATCTTGGTAAAATTACCACACCATATTATGTTCTAAATTAATATAAATAAAAAAATTCCAAGAAATTTTAACTGATATAGATCTATTTTACGAGAATGCTCTCATGATCTACCACTCAAATTATCCATTCACATGGCCTCTGATTATATGAATTAGTTGCAAAGAAAATTTATATGTGCTAAAGGTTTGCGCAAAGAAATATTTTTGTTATCTTCATATGATCCTTGACAAATCCTATCATAAACTTAGGGATGAAATGAAAAAATATATTTTATAAAAATTTAAATTAAAGTTAACTATTTTTTAATATATTAAAAACATATTTAAACTTTCGTTATTGATACTGGGACAGTAGTTTACCTTCAACAAAATGGCATCAGCAGGAGGAACTGACTCAAACATGTCCCCACCAACATATTTCAAGTTGTCTTTTCCTTGCAAACCAGCAACAACGTGTGGGAGATCAAATACTGTGCACTCAAGCTGTGGGAATGATTTGGCAATTGCCTTTGCCATAGTCCCTGTACCTCCACCAACATCTACCAATGACTCCAAGCCTTTGAACACCTCCTTGCACTTCTCAACCACCACACTGGCAATCAAATGAGTGTCACTTGCCATTGCATCATTGAAAAGTTCATTAAGTTTTGGCTCAATGCCACAATAATCCCATATTTTCATTCCATGGGCTGTGTGAAACGGTGTAGGATCATCACTTTTGAACCATGTAGGCAATTGATACCATGGCTTTGTCAAAATTGGATCAACCATGGCTTGCAGAAAAGGTGCCATACTTAAGGGACTGTCCTTAAGCAATAAAGCAGATGAATCAGTTAGTACATAACCCATTTCTAGCTCATTCTCGTTGATCTTTTGTTGAGAAAAGAAGCCAGAATGGATCAACATTCGCATCAAACGGTAGATACAATCGGTTTTGGATGGATGAATTGATAGTGAGGCAATAAGTTGTGAGAGTGGCATGGGTTGGCCATACTTGTGTATGATATCTGGTATGTCTAAGTCAATTGCACATTTTAGGGACATGGAATTGATGTAGCTGAAAATGTGGTTCCATACATGGGCTTGGGCTTTAAGAAGCTTGGTGGCATTCTCTTCACTTTGGAATTCCATAATTTTACTAATTGAACAACTATAGGTGGATATGTATTGCACTTGTATGAAACCTCACATTACTTACTATTTATAAGGCAAGGTGGTCATCTTGAAGAGTCTAAGAATAAAATATTATTTACATCAAATTATTGAACATTTGTAAAGTACGTTCTTATCTGTAAAGTGGTGTATATAAATATGTTTCATGTTTTTTTACTTGTGCAATTAATTTGATTATGCGGTGCACGTGTTGAAGTTAACAATGTTCTCGTAATTAGTAATCAATTCAATCCTTGTTTGTACATGAGCATCGTATGCCCTCGAAAATGTGCAGCCACCGAATCAAGCATTTTTCTTTTCTTTTGTCCCTTTCATAACATTTTTTTGTTTGAAAACAAGATAAAGTAAATTAGACGTTAAAATGCTCAATATGGTATTTAAATTTTGAAGTTCTTTTAACAAATGAACTACTTTTTTTCTTATTAGGCTCCTTTCATACTTAAATCATAACACATCTCTATCATTATAAATTTTTAAATAAGTAGCTACTGACTAGAACAAAATGACAAAAAAAAAAAAACTAATACAAATTGATTTTATTAGGATAAAACACTCAAACGTTGCAATTCAATTATTGGACCATCTTTATCACTAACACTGTGTGGATAGAGTTATCCAGTTATCATCTTCACTTTACCTCTCAAACTATCAACATTTTTCTAATTTTAGATAAGTTAAACTAATTTGTTAGTCTTTATATATTTTTAATTTTTTTTATTTAATCTTTGTAATGGAAATTTTTAATAATTACTACTGTAATATATTTATAAATATTAATGATGTGATATTTTAAATTTAGTAACCTTTTTTTATTTTTTATTTTTTTATAAGTAACTTTCATAAGTATTTTTCTCTGAATTATATTTTTATTTTGTGATATATTTGATGTTAAATTATCATCCATACTTTTGGATTTTGCATGTTGTTTGAGATAAATTTATAGTATTTCTTTTTCAATCTTTTACTGATTTGTTATAATAAAATATTTATATAATATTGATCAAAAAACTTGAATTTATTGTAAAAGAAATTAGTTTCCAGACTTAAACTTTTATAGAAGTAATTTTCAAAAATCTTTAAAATTTTAAGGGTGATCGAAAACCTTTTTTATTTCTTAATATTTTAATTGTTGCATATTAAATATTTAATATTAATATAATTCGAAAGACAAGTTTCTAATTTAACGTTGAATTTATCACCTGTTAACAAAAGGATTTATATATGGGTTTAGAAAAAAAAAATTACATATGAAAAACAATTATAAAAAAAGTGTCAGAAAAAATTAAATTGTCGTTTAAATTAAAAGTACCATGTATATTTAATAGATATTTTAAATATTTCTCAATCACAATCTGGTTGATAAAAGACGTTACTTGAGTTGGTTTTGATTTTCTAATTATTGTACTTATTTGAATTGGTTTCCAAAATTTTCAATTTGGCAATAAGTCTACAACAAGTTAATTCTTTCACGAACTAATTTATATAAATTAAAATTGGTACAAGTAATATAACTTTCATGGACCCAATTGCTAATCTATTGAATAAATCTTCCAGTAAACTATTATATTTTACGTTACTTTCTAACAATGAAAATATGTATCGCATGCTGGAACCATGATTGAATTACCGCTTATATTATGCATTCAGTCAATTGGATCCACGTAGGATTGAATTAATTACTAATTGTGAGTAAATTAACTTCACCATGTGTACCGCATTATCAAATTAATTAATTGCACAAGTAAAAAAACATGAAACATATTATATACACCACTTGACAGATAAGAACGTACTCAATTTTCAATAGTTTTATGTAAAAATATTTTATTCTTAAACCCTAATCCACTAAAGCTGAATCCTGAATGTTTTGGAACTATTAGTTTGTCTAAACTATTCCATCAAAATACAAGCTAATAGCAAATTAGAGCGAGTTAACTCATTAGACCCATTTTTTATTTTTAAAAATTAAAATAATTATTTACTTATTAAATATTATTTTTTTAATATAAAATTATTTTTTTAAATATTTTTTTATTTTTATGGATTGGCCTATTAATCAAATGGTACATCAACTTTTTTTAAAAAAAAATTTGGCGGATTAGTCCATTACCTGTCCACTCTTAAACAGGTTAAACTAAAAAATTTAACTATTTTTTAAAAGAAATGAATTTGAATTAGCCCATTTTTAAACAGAATTTAGATTATCACTCATGAGCATAATACATATCCACTTAAAGTTGTTCAATAAGTAAGATTATGGAATTCCAAAATGAAGAGAATGGCACCAAACTTCTTAAAGCCCAAGCCCATGTATATAAATTCCATGTCCTAAAATGTTAATGTTCAATTGACTTGGACATACCAGATATCATACACAAGCTAGTATGCTCAACCCATGCTACTCTCACAACCTATTGCCTTACTATCAATTCATCCATCCAAAACCGATTGTATCTACTGTTCGATGCGAATGTTGACCCATTCTGGCTTCTTTTCTCAACAAAGGATCAATGAGAATGAGTTAGAAATGCATCTCACAAACTCAGCATTCTCGTCCCCATATTACTATACCCAAAACCACTGTTAATTCCAAATCAACATGTCGGAAATGAAATTCATAGTCACCACCATTCATTATGTAAATTAGAAACAGGTGATATACATTTTAAATTTTTATTTTGTAAAATTAATTGATATATAATTGCTCTGTAAAGTAACTTTAGAGAATAATTATACTCAGTAATACTCTAGAAGTGACTAGTAAAATTTAATTATATTGCGAATGTTACGCGTAAAATTACTTTGCAAGTACGTAAATTATAGATCACAAAATACAAAGTTGTTAGCTAATTTTATCGGATAAAGCCATATTTTTTGCTATAATTGAAGTATAACTTTCTAGCTGACTTATTAATTATAAATTACAAGCTACAAAGCTTTTAGCTAATTTTATGGAATGAAGCCTTGTTATGGAAAGACCTCAATAAGAGATCTTACACCCAGCACTGGAGTTATCTTGTAATCACTGAAACCAGCAGAATAAATCAGTTTAGCCCATTCTTTTTCATTTCTCTCCTTTCCGGTGAGCAATGCCATCATAAGCATATCAAATAATAGCTGTGTTTCGATTGATTCATTGCTATCTCCCTTCTCATTCCCCATCACGATGTCTATGATAATCACCTTTCGATTTTCGCCTTCGCTTGTGATTGCCTCTTTGCAATTTTTCAGTATTTTCACACACTCCTCATCATTCCAGTCATGCAATATCCACTGTTAAATAAAAACTACAAGCATTTGAAATTTTAAAAATTATTGGAATGATAGAAACATCATTTGAATTTCAAAGATGATTTATAATTGATCTTCATACTTAATATATATATATATATATATATATATATATATATATATATATGCACACACGTGCGCGCGCATCATTATACTTCTCCGTATTGATTGAAAATATTAAAGAAAATTAAGTACATGCAAAAGTTATCTTGTGTTCATGAATAATGATTCAAATCTATATAACCTAAAGATGAATTAGTAATATATGGTAACAGTTTACCTTTAATAAGATGCCCTCAGCAGGAGGAATTGACTTAAACATGTCCCCTCCAACATAATTTAAGTTCTGACTCCCTTGCAAGCCAGCAACAACATGAGGGAGATCAAATACAGTGCACTCTAGTTGTGGGAATGATTTAGCAAATGTCTGTGCCATAGTCCCTGTGCCTCCACCAACATCTACCAGTGAGGCCAAGTTGTTGAACACGCCTTTGCATTTTTCAATCACCACACTAGCAATCAATCGAGCGTCACTTGCCATCCCATCATTGAAAAGATTGTTAAGTTTTGGGTCATTATTAGCATAACCCCAAAATGTCATTCCATGTGTAGTGTTAAATGATGTAACATCATCATTTTTGAACCATGTTGGTAATTGATACCATGGCTTTGTCATAATTGGATCAAGCATGGCTTGCAAAAAGGGTGTCACACTCAAGGGATTTTCCTTAAGCAATAAAGCAGATGAATCTGTAATCAAGTAACCCACTTCTGACTCATTCTCAATAATATTTTTTTGAGACAAGAAGCCATAATGGGTCAAAATTCGCATCAAGCGGTAGATGCAATTTGTTTTGGATGGGTGAATTTGTAATGAATTAACAAGTTGTGAGAGTGGCATGGGTTGGGCATACTTATGTATGGTATCTAGTATGCCCAAATCGATTGCACATTTAAGGGACATGGAATTTATGAAGCTCAAACTGTGATTCCATATGTGGGTTTGAGCTTGAAGAAGTTTGGCAGAATACTCTTCAATTTGGGTTTCCATAATTTTGCTGCTTGAAATTCTATTGCAAGAGATTCGTGGTTTCAATTGTATGAACCCGACGTTACTAAATACTATTTATAAGACAAACCGGCGTGCTGCGAAGATTTTGAAAACATGCACACTTCAATTTGCACAAAAATAAATGCCAACTTAATAATGAGTTTTAACAAGGAAATATAATAAAAATATTTAGAATTTTATTAACCTCAATTTTTAAGATTAAGTTTAAATATTTACAAATAATTTTTTTTTATAAAAACAACACATAATTATTATATTAAAATTATAAAAATATAATAAATATTTTTTTAATAAAATTTTACTATTATTAATTGTCTGTCTTTGACTCTAAAAAATAAGTTTAACAAAATTCAAATATTTATTACAGTTTTATTTTTGAATGCACATAATAAAAATTGTACTAACAAATAATATATCGTTTATTAGTATAAAATTATCATTAAAATTTTATTTTATTATGTTTATAATTCATTAACTACTTTAACCTTCTTTTAAAATATTAACTTCCTTTTTTGTTTTAAAATGATGACGTAAAAATATTGCGCAAGCTTGAAATCGATAATTATTATTGCCAAGAACGGTGTCAAATGTACAGTACTTGCACTTTTTTCAACAAGAGTAATATACGTGTGGTTTCCTTATTCTTATCTTTTTAACGTAGCTGTGGCATACACGTGTTCTTACCTGACACTTTTATATATACATAGTAGAAAAGAATTTTTTATATCAGTCTTACCTAAAGTTTTTATTTAATTTAAATTTAATAACTAGTAAAGTAATAAATTATAATCTGTTAGATTTAACTTAGATGAAAGATTTAAATTAAAAATTTACACTGTTGTAAGAAGATCTTATCCATATATATATATATATATATATATATATATATATATCTTAGAACTTAGGCAAAAAAAGAAAACCAAAATAAATGAGGAAAACCAAAACGAGTTGCTTAGTAAAATTACTAGTCTCCTCACTACCATTCCCGACACTCCTCAACCTTCTGAAGAATCTAGTGCTAAACCCAGGACTAGGTCTCTTGCCAAAACTATCAATGCCATCTCTAAGGCTGATTCAGAACATTGTTCTGAAACAGACTCTGTTTTAGCCATTAATCCTATCAATAATTGGAAAAATTCTTCCAAGCTTTATTATAATAGAGCTACTGCTCCTGATCTTATTTTAGAAGAAAAACAAGATTTTATTCAAAGTTTTAATTCTAATGATATTTATATTTGGAATATCGATGGATTATCTGAATATAATATCATTGCCAAACTTCAAAATATGTCGGTTGTCGCTATGGGCTATTTTACTAACCAAAATATGCCTGAAGACACCATTGTCTATATTCTTGTTGCCGGTTTTAAAAACATATTGTCAGTCTCCCTTATGAATCTGGATTCAAAGATACCCAAATTCCCACTAAAGCCAGACCAATTCAGATGAATGAAGAACTCCTCCATTACTGTCAGAAAGAGATTACAGATCTCTTAGACAAAAATCTTATCAGGAAAAGCAAGAGTCCTTGGTCTTGCTCTGCTTTTTATGTTAATAAACCTGCTGAGATTGAAAGAGGTACTCCCAGACTTGTTATCAATTACAAACCCCTCAATCAAGCCCTTCAATGGATTAGGCATCCTATCCCCAATAAAAAAGATCTTCTTAACAGACTCAATTCTGCTAAGATCTTTTCAAAATTCGATATGAAATCGGGATTTTGGCAAATCCAAATTTGCGAAAATGATAGGTACAAGACTGTCTTTACTGTTCCCTTTGGGCATTACGAATGGAATGTTATGCCCTTTGGTCTAAAAAATGCTCCTTCTGAATTTCAAAAAATCATGAATGACATTTTCAATCCTTATTCAAAATTTGTCATTGTCTACATTGACGATGTTTTAATTTTTTCTCAATCCATTGATCAACATTTTAAACATATAAATGTTTTTATCAATGTTATTAAACAAAACGGTCTTGCCGTTTCAAAATCAAAAATTAGTCTCTTTCAAACCAATATCAGATTCCTTGGACATAATATCCACCAAGGTACCATTATCCCTATCAGTAGGTCCATTGAATTTGCTGATAAATTTCCTGACAGGATCCTTGATAAAACCCAATTACAGAGATTTTTGGGATGTCTCAATTACGTTGGGGATTTCATCCCCCACCTAAATAACATCATCAAGCCTTTACATGATAGGCTTAGGAAAAATCCTCCCCCTTGGACTGATGTCCATACTAATGTCGTTAAAGAAATCAAAAACAAAGTCAGGAAGATAAATTGCCTATATCTTCCCATCCCCCAAGCCTTCAAAATCGTTGAAACTGATGCCTCAGACATAGGTTATGGAGGTATTCTTAAACAAAAAATCAAGTCTCATGAGCATATCATTGCATACACTTCAAAACATTAGAATTCTGCACAACAGAATTATTCTACTGTTAAAAAGGAAGTTTTGGCAATTGTTTTATGCGTTTCAAAATTCCAATCTGATTTACTAAACCAAAAATTTTTAATAAGGGTAGACTGCAAGTCTGCCAAAGAAATTTTACAAAAGGATGTTAAAAATCTTGCCTCAAAACAAATTTTTGCGAGGTGGCAAGCAATTTTAAGTGTTTTTGATTTTGACATAGAATATCTCAAAGGCACTTCAAACTCCCTTCCTGATTACCTTACCCGTGAATATTTACAGGATAAGTAGGATGCCTAGAAAGGCAGTTACCCAGAATCATCATCTAACTGAGAAAGAATAACTTGGTGAATTTGTTGTTGATCTTTGATTTCTCTAATTTCTTTCTTGAGATTATTTATCTCAATCTGGAGATCTTGAATAGTGGTTGGTTTAATATTAGAATTCTTTTCTAACCTTTTGAAAATATCTGTGATATCGAATTTATTTGAAGTAAAATATTCTTTAGGTTTAGGTTTATTTTCTAAAACCTCTTTGAATTTGTTTAAAAATTCTTTTCTTTCTTGAAAATCCGAAATAGAGCTTATAGCTTCAAAAAGAAGATCTTGTTCTTTTGTCAAAACATTGATTTCTGGAGTTTCATCACTGTCAGAAGAAGAAGCTTGGTCATCATTTTGAATTTGGTTGACCTCTTCTTCAGATTCTTTATTAGAATCTTCCTCTTCATCAGAGGTATTAGTCAGGAGATTATTGATTTGGTCCTCTAAAGAAGGCTCTAGATTGAGGCTACTAATCTTTTTCTTTAGCCTGCAATACTTACTAATATGGCCAGGTTTACCACAATTGTAACAGGTTACGCCTGTTCTGGGTTTTTTGGGAATATTGGTGGGGATGACATTATCCCCTTGTTTCTTAGGACTGGGTTTTCTATTGTACCTGCGCTTATAGGGCTTTTTGTAAGGTTCTACAGCCTCTTTCTTAGGGGCATGTTTCTTCCTTTTGGGAGAGCAGGATGGAAGACCAAACTGTTCGCAGAATGACCCTAATTCTTTCTTGCTCAAAGCTTTATCTTTAGCAAGTTGTTTTTGGAGTTTATCTTTCTGGCAAACTTTAATACCGCTATGGATAATGATAGCAGTAAGTTGACCATAATCATAATTATCATAATTGATTTCTCCAGTAGGAGAACGACTTCGGAGTTTACTTCTAATAAGATCTCCGAATGCTTTAGGAAGACCATCAAGATATTTTTCTTTCCAATAGGCTTGGTTGCAATCTTCCCTAGTAAGGACCCTAGACATAAAGGTATCTTTATACCACTTGAAATGTTCTAAGGAATCACATTTGAGTTTTGAAAGTAACTCACCAGATCTTTCCCTCCAAAGAGAAGGATCACCTAGGAAATGTTGGGATATTGTGTATAATAACGTATACACAGCATCAGGGAGATGCTCATTGTCACTGACAATGGTTTTCCCTTTATCATTAATTTTAACTGCAGAGAGAATGTTATCTCTGTCAGCTTCAGTGAGATAATTATCCCACCAACCTTTGAGTTGGCCAGTAAAACCGGCAACAAGAATATAGACAATGGCAAGAATTCCAGCAGATCTTAAATACTTCTCTGATTTTGCCCTGGCATGGGTATTCTCATGGCAATACAGGTATGGCAAGACAGAAAATGAAGACACTCTCCCATTGTTACACAGGTATTCCTTTGTAAAATGGTGGAATCAATTCAATGCGGAACATGCCGGACCAGAAGGAGTTGCTGAATATTTTGGGAAAAATCCCAAATTATTAAATCTTGCTGACCCAGCAACATTCCAATTCCTTAATCAGAAATCTAAAATTGCAGCAAGAAGGTTATTTGTTTCCCTAAATGTCGAGTGGATATACCATCTTTCGAAATTTGCAAAGGGAAAAGAGCTTTTATGAAAGGTGTTCCCAAAATCACTTCATTTTTTAAATTTTTAACAAGAAGGAAGTTTGTTTCAATCTTAAGTTCTTGATTTTCAATTACAGCTTTAGAAAGCTTATAATTAATTTTCAGTTTTGAACCACTAGCAGTGCTGAGTTTTTTAGAGGTTTTTTCAAAATATTTTGTAGGAATTAAACCTTCTAAAATACAATTTGAATCAGCACCTGTATATATATATATATATATATATATATATATATATATATATATATATATAAAAGGCAAGTTTAAAAATTCCTACATTCATATTATGCCAAAAAGGAGTTGTAAGAGCAGTTTTATTTTAAATTAGAGAACGTTTGGAACTGTTTTAGAATATAGTATTATCCAATGTATTGCATTTAAGAGAGAACGTTTGGAACTGTTTTAGAATATAGTATTATCCAATGTATTGCATTTAAGAGAGCAGTTTTGTGTCTAAAGTATAAGTGTAAATCGTGAATTTGAAATTTAAAATTTATTTCTTTGTGAGTTTTTTAGATCTATTACAAACTAAAATTAATTTATTATTACATTTAAATTTTAATTTATAGGTCTGACATTCAAATTTTTTTTATTTTTACCATAAATCAAAATTGAATCTTGAGTTTATACAGTGTGTTAACCAAACAGTCTACATTTATATGAACCAAACACAAGTAAGCAGAGAGAACAAATTAGTAGAACGATTCATCGTTAATAGAAAGAAAAAAAAAGAATGAATGAATGGAAAAAACTGTGAAAAAGGTACATGTAAATGTAAAAAAAAGAATAATTTATTAACGTAGAAAAAATAAAAAGAACATAAAAAACGAAGATAAAAAAATAATTTATTAGCACAAAGAAGATGAAAAGAGCATAGAAGACGAAGAGAACAAAACCTACATACATAAAAGAGATGAAAAGAACTTACAGAAGTAAAAGAGATCAACTTTATTAGTATGATAAAGATTGAAAAGATTTATGAGTTGAACGAGTTTTATTTATAAAAGTTAAAGATTTTAGAGAGTGGTTAAATACTCTTAGAATTATATATCTGAGAGCAGTTCAAACGTTAATCTCTCCCTAAAATATAACTTTAGAAAGATCAATAAAGAACTATTCTTAGAAGTATAGATCTAAGAGTAGTTCAATGCTAACTTCTCTCTAAATATAATGTTAAAGAACGATTTTAGTAACTATTATATAAATTAGCGTTTTAAAAATTTATTTTTGGCGTAGTAACAATACGAGTCTTTTATTTAATTTATATCTAATAAAGTTGTTAGATATAAGTTAAATAAAAAATTTAAATTAAATATAAAAAATTTTAAACTTATATTAGTATGAGAATATATATATATATATATATATACTTCTAGTTTAAAACAAGAATCCAAATTAGATATTCTATTCAAGACGGGTTGGAAATGGATTTATTTAATAATTGACCTGCAAACTGTTTTAGTGACATTGGAATTCAACTTATTTAATCTATAAATTAAATAAATTGAGGAAAAAGAATAATTATATTTAAAAATATTTATACTTTTTTATTGAGTTTAAATTTTTTTTCGTTTGGAATCAATTTTTTTTATTATATAACTTGTAAATTAAATTGACTCTCTAAATAGAATATTTTTAATAAATTTTAATTAATATTAAACGTAATAATAAATGTGATCCACTCATCCACCACCGTAAACTGGGGAGTAGGTCGTGAACGGTGATTGGTTTGGACAAAGTGCTGTGTCCTACCACTGAACTTTGTCGTTGACAAAGAAAACATAAACGACTTGGATGTGTGGCATTCATCTCTTATGCAATGTATATCTTAACACTTCAATGCACCTTACAATTTTTACTCCTTATCCACTGTGTTCATCATTTGATTAACAAGCAATTACATGATAACATTTTATCACATTTTAATAGTTTTAAATATCATATATTTAACTTATGTGTATTAACTCAAAAAGTATTAAATGTTAATTTTTATTTAACACATTTTAATTTTCTAATATATTGATGGCATATTAATATGTATACATGTCAAATTAGTTGAATTATTGTTGGATACGGAGATTCAACTCGTAAGAATTATTTTAAAATTTAATAAATTTAATTATATTAAATATTTGAATAAAGAGCTTTATCACTTAGGATAATTTTACTTGACTCAAATAAGATTATTTTTAATGCAAAATACATATGATTTGAAAAATAAATAAAAAATAGTTAAATTAAGGTGCTTAATTTTATAAAATGTTTAGAAAAATAACTTATGAATTTTTCTTAGCAAATAATTACTATAATTTCTATTTTACATTTAATTTTTAAAATATTGTCAATTTTGTGTTTCATCTTCTTAAATATTACAGGTTTTACTTTCCCTCGTTTGTTAAAAAACACTACTTTGTAAACTATGCAATGCAATGCACAAATATTATATATATATATATATATATATAATATAATATAATGAAATTCTAAAATAAAATTTTAATATATATTTTTTTTTATATAAAAAAAAGCGTGCATGATTAACCTTAAGTGAACCAGCTAACTTATTTTTGTCGTGTTGTAAGATCCAATGTTAGTCACTTGTGGACATGTGTGGACTTTTGTCAGTGAGTTGAAGACTTGTGGCCTGTTCCATTTGTGCTATTGCATTTGAATAACTATTTTTTAATATTTTTTCTTTTATGGACTGAATTAAAATATTTTTAATCTATAAGATAGCATCAACAAATTGATGTTTTAGTTTTATGATTAATTGACATTAGTAATTTTCTGTACATTCCACAAGAATCGTTAAATTAAATTAATTTTAATAAATAATTAAAAATAAATTATATGACTTAAAGTTTAGGAACAAAAAAGTTAAAGAAACATAAAGATGAAATAAATGATAAATTAATAAAATCCCATAAATTAATGTATATTTATAAAATAAAAACAAAGAAAATTTCATGTATCATTTTTTATGAAAGAGTTAAAAAATTGGGGAAAAAATGTCATATGACACTTTTAGTGAAAAGAAAAGTCTTGTAATATATCTTAATGCTCCAAAAATGCATCCCTTTCCTATTTTACAGCATATAACCCACTAATCTTATTAATCTTATAACAAAATAGGGATTTTTATTTTTAAAAATTAAGATATATAATGAAATAAGGGAATTAGCACAGTTTCTCCTCAGTACACCAAGAAATAATGCTTTACTATGAACTCTTTATTTTTAAAATTAATTAATCAATGGCTTTTAAGCCTGGATGCATGAATGCAATTAAGTTGTTAGGTGCATTGTAGGATCCATCCATAACTGATCATGTACACTATTTGCTCCAAAACTACGGCTACAAAATGATAAATCACTTAACCCCAGAAGTGCTTTTTAGTATTTTTTTTTTTAAGAGAATAGAAAAATTAAAAAGTTTGATAAACTTGGACAAAAAGGTCAATGAGAATACACATAGTACAAAATATGACCCATCTTGTCACTTTGTCAATCGTTGATACTACATATAAACCTCAATTAGAGACTTAAAACCTAGAACCGAAGTTGTCTTATAGTTACTAAAACCTGCAGAGTAAATTAGCTTAGCCCAATCTTTCTCATTCCTCTCTTTTCCAGTAACCAATGCCATCATCTCCATATCATAGAAGAGCTTCGTTTGATCAAATTCACTATCTCCCTTCTCGTTCTCGATCACTACGTCTATGATTATCACCTTCCCTTCTTTACCTTTGCTTGTGATTGCTTCCTTACATTTCTTTAGTATTTTCAAGCATTCCTCATCGTTCCAATTATGCAATACACACTGAACTCGTATCAATTTGCAATTTAGTAAAAACATCACTTTGTATTAAATTAAAGAATACCATGACAAATAAAATTTGAACAATATAGATGTACATATGAAACACTTGAGAAAAAAAAAAATTTAATGTTAACTAAGTGACCATATTTTACCTTCAACAAAATAGAATCAGCAGGAGGAATAGCTTCAAACATGTCTCCTCCAACATATTTTATGTTCTCAGTTCCTTGCAAGCCAGCAACAACATGTGGGAGATCAAATACAATGCACTTTAGTTGAGGGAATGACTTGGCAATGACCTTAGCCATGGTGCCCATTCCTCCCCCAACATCAACCAATGATTCTAATCCATTGAACACTTCCTTGCACTTCTCAATCACCACACTAGAAACCAATAGCGTGTCACTAGTCATGGCATCATTGAAAAGGTGATGGAGTCTGGGCTCACGGATAGCATAATCCCAAAATGTCATCCCATTTTCAGTCTGAAATGGTGTAGGATCTTCATTTGTGAACCAAGTAGAAAATTGATGCCATGGATTCATCAATATTGGATCAAGTATGACATGCAAAAGAGGTGTCATACTCAAGGGATGGTCCTTAAGTAGTAGTGTAGATGCATCAGTTAGCATATACCTCACTTCTAGCTCATTTTCAGTGACATTTTGTTGAGAGAAGAAACCCGAATTGATCAAAATTCGCATCAAGCGATAAATGCTGCCAATTTTGGAGGGATGAATTGGTAGTGATGCAATGAGTTGTGAGAGTGGCATAGGTTGGCCATACTTGTGTATGACATCTGGTATGCTCAAATCAATTGCACATTTAAGGGACATGGAGTTTATGAAACTGAAAATTTGATTGAATATGTGGCTTTGAGCTGGAAGTAGTTTGGAAGCTTGGTCTTTGTCAAAATCCATATTTTGCTTCCTGAACTAGCAACTAGATGTGTGATAGCAAATCTTACACACTACATGAGTGCATTTATAAGGTCAGCACAACTTTTTTTAGGTGCAAGGTTAGAGCCCACACCCATAAATATAATGAGCCCTTGCTTCAACCCTTCAAGTTATTAGGCCGGCACAATTATATTGATGTATTAAAATAATACTAATTACCTCAAATTATTGCCGATAAAGAGACACTTGATATGCCAGTAATTTTGTTAAAGTTGCCAAAAACTATATAATATTCTTCACTTATTCTATTTGTAATGTTATACACATGTATTATAGTTGGAAAATTATTTTATGAAAACATCCTCCCATATATATCTACTTTAACAAACGCTTAATCTTTGAAGTTATGTGAATTGTATTATATATATATATATATACATTTTTAAAGATTACTTTAGTACACGTTAATTAACTGTTAATTTAAATAACTATAACAAAAGAAAATTTATATAAAAATTTCTCTGTTGCAGATAATATATGACGTACAATTGCAATCAACCTGACGTAGTTGAGAATTTTGGAAATATTTATTAGTGATGAAAATTCGAGCTTGCTTGCATTAGTTTCACCGTGCGTTTGCTTTTGAAATGTGCAAATATATGGAGCACTTTAAAAGCTGACAAGCAAATGGGCTCTCACAAAATGAAATAATCCACACAAAAACAGACGACATAGTTACAGTCTCACGATGCAATTGAGCATTTAAAACTAGCCATGAAGAAACCAACAATAAATGCAACTGGTAATGCGCATATTTTCGGTGATAAAATCATCTGTAGAGTTGATGGTTATTTTTTATTAGTATCTCTTTACCCATAAAAAAAATTAATATAATAAATAAAATATTTAACTAAGGTAGGTAACTCAAAAGTAAAAAATTAAAAAAAAATACTAAGAAAGAAGAAATTAAGGAATTTATTCAAATAATTTTAACAAAATAATTAATTATTGATCTTTATAATTCTTGTCCTTTTAAATAAGGAAGAAAGTGATGTTATGTTATAATAATTTGAAAGTTATCAGAGAACAAATGACAGCAAGTGTTAACGTTTTATATCTTGGGATTAAGGTGGTTTGAAATAGCTTCTAACTCATGCTTTGAATTGGAAATTAGTATATGATTCTTAATTTACAAAAGTATTCTTATAAGTTTATAGATGCTTATAAATAAGTTAGAAGAGAGTTTTAAAAAAAAAAGTTCAGGTGCGTAACTTGATTTTTATGTGTGCTAGAAATTTAATCAATTTTTTATCTTATTATTTTATTGCACAAGTACTAGTTGACAAATGCATATAAAAATCTTTAAATCATATTTAACGTTTTAAACGTTAATATATAATTAATTAGATTAAAAGATAAAACAAACGCGGTAACATGGCCCATTCACTCATTTATTTCCGACCAAATCCTGAAGTATCTTTGATGACCATTCCCACCATGATATGTTTCACCTGCTCTCCCTTTTTGCAGATATATATGTCCTACCTGATCTTCCATATTGCACTTTAATTAAGGCTACACTTTTCTTATTACTTTGCGATAGATGGATTATGCTGACAAAATAGTCGGGTTTTTTTTCTTCAAAAATTTTCTTAACTTAATAATAAGTTTTTCTCTAAAATAAATTTAACCATTACATATACTACATCAACAGATTTAGTCCAAAAAACCAAAAAATGAATCCTCATAAACTTAAAATAGGTCGTAGCATATAAACTAAAATAGACATGTTTCTAGAGACTAGTACTAGCACAGTAAATTTGGATCCCAAGCTCACCTGAGACATTGGATTCCAATGCAGCACACATCACATACGTCCCACTGTAACATTTATTTAGTAGCAAAAATATACAAATGCGAATAATATGTGCAACATATTTTATTATACGCCTATAGGATCGTATATCAGTCAAATGAAGGTCTGTTTATTTGATGAAAACTTTTGTAGACCACCAAGACTCGGCCTTATTCACCATTTAAAAGAAATCATTTATAACAATTGCGCTGAAGTGTCGACATCATTAAACGAGCATGCCTTTTTTTATGCATAACTCAAACTGCTAAATGTCAACAAAACATCTGCTAGTGAAAATCAATTGAAAAAAACAAAATATTATAATGTGCTAAACTTCAAAAAAAACTTACAAGGAACTTCAAAACGTAGCAGAACAGTATGACACATTATAAAAAATTTGATAAGTCACAGTTCAATCAATGTATGATAAAGATTCTCAAGCTCTATCAAACCACCCTACCACATCTTATCACATTTGCCAACACTGCCCTTCTTTAAAACTGTAAATAATAAATGCAGAATAATAACAAGAAATGTTAAATCTTTTTCCTTTTGCGGTACGAAATAATTAGAAGACTCAACAATCAAAAATCAGTTTCTCCTATAGCCGCTTTCCTCTTTTCTACCTGTAACCAACAGAAAATGAAACTACTGTATCACCCTTTGTCTTTCATCAGCATCCTCCCTCTCCACCTGGAAATAATGAAAATTAGCGTTGCAATATCAGGTCTTGAACTTAAAGGAATTTCATTTGCCTCATCAATCTCTAAGCTCTATAAATGTCAACGGAGAAAAAAGATACTCGAACATGAAATATTATATTTAGTTTAGCACCACATAGCATTCATGCAGTCAAATTGTTATTGTTTTTGCTTTTCAAAAGTTACTTCTAAATTTAAAGGTGGAATTGAACAGACTGGTGCCTCTTATTCTTCAAACACAAGAATATTAAGCATAAAATTACAACATCATGCATTAGGGATAATTACTGACATTTTTTCATGGATGGAAACAGTATATAATTACCTCAACAAGGACCTTTGGCTTCTTTGATTTAGAATCAAGGGCACTCTTCACATGTTTCTTCGAAGCTAAAGTCATTTTCCTCTTCACTCTACTCTGATCATCAGCTTCTGCCTCTTCATCATCAGTGCTTCCATCTGCATAAATAAGCTTCATCATGCCTTTGCTTTTCAAATGTGTAAGTTTGAAACTTTTTCACAACTCAAACAGATTTCTGCTCAATATGATAGGCACTCACATCCAACAAATAATGAATTTATCAACACAAAATACAGATAACACAGCTGTCTCTTGTAACTGAGCATTTGAATTACAAACCAAGCAGAAACTAGCATTGCATGTGACTAACACTGTGGTTTTTCTTGGGCGGTTCTGGGGAGGATGGGTGCAGATCTTTTCAAACATTGCAAAGTTGTTTGTATAAATTATTATATAATAATTTGAAAGTTATCAGAGGACATGTGATCGTAAATCAGTAAACATTGTTTTAATCAGAATTACCATAGTTTTAAAATCAAAGATGAATAGACTTAGAAGATCTGAATACGGCATCAAATCCAGAAGAAATAAAGATGCATGAGAAATGACTAAAGAAAAAATTATGTAGCCAACAAAATTCTCACCAAAACTTTTCAGCACTTGAAGTTGAAACTAAGACAAGAATACTCTCCTATTTGTTACATTTACCCACATGACTCAACCATCTACAATGTATCACTTATTCAGAATCCTAGAATCTGGGCTTCAATCATTAAAAGCAAATTCCTTCTTGAGTGAAGTTTTTTAAAAAAAATTGGGAACCTGCTCCACTATTTCATCACAAATAAAAAATGCTGCCCATATACATTTTAACATGTGCAAAATACTCCATGCGTAATGCAAGGCTGCTAAACTAATCATTACCATTTTCATCATCGTCATAATCACCCAATGATTTATGAGTTGCAAAACCACCAAAATCCTCTATGTCATCTTCCTCTTCAAGTTCATCGTAACCTTCTACGTATTCTATCTCTGGTTCCTGTTCAATTCAAAAACAAAAAATAACAAACTAAATAGATCCAACACATTAAAATGTTAAATTCCAAATAGATTTGATTGAGAACAGACCAAAAAAAAAATGGTTTAGTGAATACATACCTCTTCATCCTCTACATCAGCAGGTTGAAGTTTCTCCATATCAAGAACTTTATTGTACTCTTCAAGAGGATAATTGTATATGTCACTTTGTTGATAAACTCCTTTTTGAAGGCGTTCTAATAGCTCTTTTTCAATAGACTAAGTAGTATTGAAAAGAACCAATGAGTTACGGGAAAACATCATACAATTAAATATGCATGGGTAACGTTAGTATTGACTATAACCTTTTCTAACAAAGCTGCTTTTTCAGCCTTTGCTTCTCTTCGAGCCTCTCTCTTTTTCTCTTTCCTCGGAGTTGTCATTATTTTCTCCCTGTACAAAAGCATCAACATTTTTTACAACATGAAAAACTGTTATGGAGAAATTGCTATGAACTTTCATTGAAGACACCAACCTAAAATATAGATAAAGGATAGAAGAATTGCCATATGAATGTAACCCGAGATGTAAGAATCCACCTCAAATATAAAATCATATTCAAACTAAGAAATAGACATGTAAAAATGACATAGATACCAAGAATAACAATACAGACACCTCATTCAAATAAAGTCTAATTTAAATTCTGGACAAGGGAGGTTATCCCCAAATTAAAGGGGATCAAACTGTTTAACTTTAACACCGATAACAATGTTGTCAAAAAATTAGTGTTTTAGGGATGTGAGACAGAAATAGAGCATAATATATTACTAAAGACTCATAATGGTTCAATAGAAAAAACAGATCCTGTAGGGCCTAAACTCCTATTTATATTAATGTCATGACTACATAAATATGCTTTGCTTTCTCTGCGTTGCTATACACAAGTAACTGGTTTCCAATAAGTGTTTCCTAAGAAAACAAAAGTAGTGCAGGAAGTAAACAGAAAGAAGCAGAAAAACATTGGACAAAAAAGTCAATCAGAATATAGGGTAAAGTTTCTTTCCAATGTGATTTTCCCTCTGATTAATCAGATCGGGTGCCTCTCATTCATAAAATTCTCCCTCATTTAGAATTACTTATCCAGAATGCATTTTGAAAGAGTAACCTTTATGTTTCGAAATGTATTTAGGTGTCAAATTACCAAAACAAAGTATACAAGTCATTTTAAAAAATGGGGTAAAACTTAAAAGTAAGGAGAAGGTTGAGAAATTATCTAACTAATTTTCCCCAAACTGAGGTAACATAATGTTACTGCCCCAAAATGAATGTTTCAGCACCAGAATTAAGCATGAACATAGTATCCAAATATTGACTGCCAAAATAAATGATGTCCAACAATCAAAACAGAAATGTATACCATCTATGCTCTTATTTTAAATTGCAGTCCGTTGATCCTGAAAGTTTGAGATTAGCCACCTACCCCAAATAAATTGGTGTTTGACCATATATGTTAAGGTATGCTGAAAAATTAAAGTCTATGCCAGGCACAAGCCAAATTGAGCCCGAGGTCTATGCCATTAGTAATTCATTGAAAATCAAATGTAATATAGCAGGGCTTTGAACTTTTACTCCATGTGGTAGAATTCTTAACTGACAATCTTATTCATTCAGAGAAATCTTATATTTCACTCACACAATTGGATTCATCAGATTGGCTATTTAAATGTTCAGAATCAACATGCAGGAATCAAACAATATGAAATCTAGAGCATCTGGGGAACAAGCTTCATATGGATAAACTATGTACTGCTTGACATGATAAAACAAAATGCAAATTTACAAACCTTGTCTTCAAAGCAAGTTTCCTCATACGTATCCGCATCTGGGTCATTTTGGTCAAGCGTTGCTTTATCTTGTGTATAAGAAGCTTGGGCCAATACATCTGCCAATTCAGAAAGGTCAAGCAAACATCCAATCTTGATAATAACTTATAAATAAAACATCAATGACTTAAAATATTGCAAAACATAGATCTACAGTACCATATGTTTATCTATGACTTCAAGTGCCTTCTCGTAATTCCTAGGCAGCTTAACTCTTTCCCACAGATCTTTTGGCATATGAGCTCTTTCTATAGTTTTCATGTACAGGTAAAACACTCCTGCATCACCAAATGCAATCATGTCATTATTTGCATACTCTGCAACAAATTCAATACTTCCTGCCTTTGCCATTCACAACAATAACCATTTAGGGAAGGGCTTTTACAGAGCTTATTGGTTTTATCTTAGGGCCTGTTTGGAAGAGCTTATGACCTCCACAAACTTTTTTCATCTTTTTTCAATAAGCTTGTTGATATATCTTATCAAAATAAGTTGCCTTTAACTTATCCTAATAAGTTTTATGGCATAACTTATAAGTCATCATTTAAAAAGAGCTTACTGAATAAGCGCTTAAATAAGTTGTGTACCCAAACACACTATTGATGTTGAAAATTGAAGGTGTTTGATTAAGCTTATGGAGTGGCTTATGACCCTCCTCGAAGTTTTTTAAAATTATTTCAACAAGTGTCACAACGAAGCTTGCTTATACAACTAAGCTTATTGAATTAAGCACTCATGACATAAATTTTTCATATGATAAGCTCTTATAGAATAAACATTTATTTAAACTGTTTGCCCAAACACATCCTTAATCAATGATATTTGCATAGAACAAAACCAAACCATATTATTCCATAAGGGGACATGAAGAACCAAAATGCACAAACAAAGTGAGACATCACATCAGAAACAATTCACAACGGCGCCTCAACATGCCATATTCTTCTCATGGATTTTCCAAAGAAGCAAACTTTAACCTCAACTAAACAAAAGCGTGCAATTTTATTCACACCCCAGAAGTATATGATAACTATGCAATCCTTTATTATTTATTATTTTTTTTTGGGGGGGGGGGGGGGGGGAGTGTTGGTAAGGAAAAGTACCATTATCATCACGAATGGTGGCATAGCGACTATTAGCTAAAGGACACGAGCTTCGATTACAAACTCCAGTGACGTTATAAGGGTTTCTACAAAAATTCCCCGTCGCAATTCTACAAAAAAAAAAAAAAAAGTGAGGAATTGAAGGTGGTGAGAGTAACAAAGAGAAAGTGGAAAGTGTGAAAAGGGTTTACTTGGCCATGAAACTACAATGGTTGTGTCTGATAACTTGCCATATAACCTCGTCGTGCTGCATCTTTGAACCCAAGAATTAAGAAGATGAAGATGATGATGAAGAAGAAGATGGAGTTGGTTCTATGGGCGCGGCTGTGAACAAGGGAATGGAAGGTTTCCTCTGAGTTGTGTTGAAACGCTGTCGTTCTGCAATGTATAAAGGGTAGGTTTCGTTTCAGGGTTTAATCGGCGAGAGAAAGACAGAGGTTCTTCCAAGTTCGTATTATATGTGTTTTTTCATTTAAAAATAATAATATTTTTATATTAAAAATTAAAATAAAGTATTTTAAAGGCAACCAAATTCAGTTGGTACACGCCTGAAAAAAAAAGTGTTTTAAAAGCATATTAAATTAGTAATAATTATATTATTGAATATCAGATAATTAACATTAAGACATTGCTAACAAATAAAAAAGAATGTAACTTTAAGAAAATTATGATGAAAGTACTAATAATATTTTTAATGTGTTTTTTTCTTAATATTTACCTTAATATCATACTTAATATTATATATGAACGGATAATTGTCTCACTTTCATATTTTAATAAATAATTTTTTTTGTCAGTGATAATCAATAATTACTGTGTCAAATATTGTAAAAATAAGCTTAAAATATACAATAGTAAATGGTATATTAATAATAATAAATTAAATTTTAGAATAAAAATTTAAAAATACCTTTTTAAGGACAAATATTATGAAGTATTTCCAAATTAAAAATATTAATATTAATATTATTAATAGGTCATGATTGTTCTTGTTAGATATATAAATATAATGAGATCTTATTCGAGTTATTTAAAATATACTTGTAATACTTCTATATTAATATTTGTATACTTTAATATTATTTTTTATGAATGGAATTATTTTTTATATTGCTTTTCGCAATCCATCGATGTTATAACATGGTGAGAATCACTTTGAGTTATTATACAGTATAAAAATATAAAAAAATAGAAAATGCAGAACAACCAAAAACATTTTTAATCTTTATACAAACTATTTATCAAGTTAATCTTGTATTATAATTTTAATAAATGATGTGTGATAATATAACAGGAGATATAAGAAGGCCCTGAATTTCTGGAACATTCTTTACAATACAAATTGAAAGTTCGCTTGTATATGTTGTATTCCTCATACTTCACCTAAACATTTATTTACCGTTGTGGATACCATGTTGTTCTTGCTGAGCAAGAAAGATATGCTCATAGATCACAAGCACCCAAGAAAAGTGCTTTACGATTAAGTTCATAATTAATTGTTCTATTCAACAAGAGAAAAAAGCAAGTTTGAGAGATAGAGAAATGGTGGTGCTTCCAGTGGTGAAGCTAGCAACACTCGCTTTGAGAACCGCGTGCAAACCAATCGCCAACAGGCTCAAGAAGGAGGCTAGTTACCACCCAAGGTTCCGCAATTTCATCATCAGCATTGCACAGGTTCTTTTCTTTCTTCTCTTATGTTCAGTGATCACGTGGAATTCACGCTCACACGTGTGGTGTGTTTCAGGCGAATCATAGGCTGACCACACGTGTGCAGAGACGCATTTATGGTCACGCAACTGATGTGGCAATTCGGCCCTTGAATGAGGAGAAAGCTGTTCAAGCCGCTGCTGATATGCTTGGAGAACTCTTTGTGTTCTCGGTGATCATAACTTCTTATGCTTCATGTTGTTTATTTCATGAATTGCCATCTACCTGTTTGTGTGTTTTACTCTGTTGATGCTAATTGTTGATTCAAAGGGTTATGGCTGTGATACTGAATAGTCAAATTCTTGTTATGTTCCCTTAATTTCATCATGGCATCTCGCATTTGTCTTTCTGTTAGATATAGGGTGCGTTTAGGTAACTGCTTCATTAAATGTTTATTTAGTAAGCTCTCATGTTGCATGAGAGGTTTATGTCATAAATTTGATTATGAACTTATTCGTATAAGTAAAAATGCGCTTATTTTGATAAGCTATATGAAGAAGTATAGCGAAATAAGATGGAAAGAGCTTGTAAGAGTTGTAAGCTACTTTTGTAAGTTTTCGATAAGTTCTTCCAAATACCCTCGTAAAGTCTTTTATGCACCTTGACCCAACAGCTTAAGCTTTTGGAATACTTTCCTTATGATAGTTGGATTACTTACTTGTTGTCAAGAACCAACCTTTTGAACTAATGAGGTGGAGGCTCAAAAATTGTTTTATATCTCTAACTAATGAAATACTATAAATTCTGAATAAGAGTCATCTGACTCAATATTGATTATTGAAGAACATTGAGAACCACACGCAAATATGTACAAATGACACATCTGTTCATGAAACTGACCGACCCTTTAGATAATTATATGGCATTTTTTTCCACAAAAAGGAAAAAAGAATGTTGTGAATTATAACTGATTTGATTCTCTTTGCATGGCGTGTATACTACATGTGAACTTTTATAGAAACAAAAAGGCAGCAAGTGTTTTGTATCCATTTTTATTCTCTCCATGTTTGTTGTCATGTTGAGAGAGGAATGTCCAGTTTAGTTAGCCCTGATCTGAGTAGTGATCACAAGTTTTCCCGAAGTTGTATACTCTTTCTGCTTATTTTGTTGCTTTTTACAAGGAATGCAATTAATGATAACCATATATGGCAGGGGGGCCATCCTTCCTTAAATGTATGCATAACAGCATAAGGTATTAGGAACTGCATTAATATATTCAGCTTGTGCAGATCAATTACTTGTTAGGAAGGTTTGAGCTTCATCAATAAATAAATGGCTATGCAGTTCATATGCCCAGAATTTCTTTCATATGAGCTTGCTTCTTATTTACCTAGGTGGATGTAACTAAATTAATGTCTTGTTATGCTAGGATGTTTTGAGAGAGTACTTATGGACTTTTCAATTAACTCGCATGAAGTGCCTAAGCTAATCTATGGACAGCTGTCTAATCTCCTGTTGTGCAGAGGTTTGGGCACTGCCTAATAGCTCTTGTAATCTTGTTTAGTCTAGGTCCTCAATGGACTTCCCTTGTCGAGCAAAAAGCAAGGAAAAGATTTAAACCAGAAAATAAAATTTAACGTATATTATTTGAGGGGTTAAAACACTTTTCTGTACATCAAAGTTGTGGTAATTAAAAAAAGGGTCTTGGTTTATAATGTTATTAACAAGGAAATATCTCCGTGGATTGTAATGGCTAGGACTAGTGTCTATCAACTATCATACAAACATTATGTTTTGATGAGCAGTATGAACTTGATCGACTCCCCATCCCATTTTTTTCCTGTTATGTTATACTGTTAACAAATGTAAGAAGTGCTTCCTATGACTTGTAGATTTTTAGATCATCTTCTTGTCAAATTATTCATCTGATCTCTGGTTGATATGTTCAAATCCATTCCTTCCCATTTCTTGCTTACAAGATTAATAGCACACTATGTACTTTTCACTTGAACCATCTGTCAAGATTTCTGCCATCATCGAATGGTCTTACTAATAACTAATGAGTCATTACTCAATATAAATTTAATTTCCTTCAATTTAGGTTGCAGGAGCTGCTATCATCTTTGAGGTGCAAAGAAGTTCAAGATCAGAAGCAAGAAAGGAAGAACTACGTAAACAAGAGATTCAGGTTGTCTCTCTACGTTTCTCTGTTGTGACGATAAATTGTGGAGGGATTTCGTTGTAGCAAAGTAAAATTGATATTCTTGGAATCCATTTCGTTGAAGCAAAAAATGATTGAGGTCTTAAAGTTGGACCTTTTTACCTCCTTTATCTTGGCTTTAAATTTTACTTACCTATTTATTTAGTCTTGTTTCTTGCATTGGCAGAGGAGAAAGCTGTTTTGGGGGGCCAAAAGTATTCTAAATCTCATGGATATGCTCACTTCTTTTGTTACATTGCAGGAAATAAAGACGAGGAGTGAAGAGTTAGCTAAAGAAATTGAACTTGTTGCACAAAAGCTTGAAGAGGTGGAACAACTTGCTAGAGGACGAGGACTTGTAGGCATTCTTAACTTCAGACACACTCATGCCAATGAAGATAGAAAATCCAATTGATTGCTGCAATAGTTAAGCATTGCACACATATTTTCAATAAGTGAACCATAGCTGTTGGTTTGGCAAGAAACGTGATTTACGTTAAAAATCTGCCAAGGGCATGCTACATTTTAGATGGCGATGCACTCAAAGCTGAAAAAGCAAAGCTTTTGTCGTGGTGAGGGGCATTGTAAGAAAAAGCAAAATTGTAGAACACAGTTTTCAAGCCTTTATCTACATTTGTTTCCTCCAAAATTTCGTTTTCTGTCAATCACTTGCTACTATTCACACACCTACACCTATTATTGGTAACTCATAATTTTATCAACAATTTTGGAATAATTCTTTAAAACAAATCAGATATAAGTTTAGCCCATTGCCTTTACACACTGTATCTTTGTACTTAGCAGCCCTTTTAAAGGATCAATCTTTGGCTACATACTAACTGGATTTTGATTGATTTTGCAGTTGATAACATGAGTTCCTAATCCTGATTTTGTTTTTCCTTGACACTCCCATTATTTCAAATGTAGATCTATCAGTTTAGTTGATCGGATTACCCTCTTATACTAAGGGCTTGATTGATTTAGTTTTAATTTTTTATTTTTAAAAATTATATTTTAAAACAATTTTATAATATAAAATTACTCTTAGGAAAAAAATAAAAACAAAATTTATTTGATAATTTAGTTTTTAAAACTGTTTTTAATTAAACTTTTATTAGTTTTAGAAAGAGAAACAGCAAAATAAAAACAAAAACACTCAAATATTAATTCTGTTATTCAGTTTTAAAAATTAAAATTTATTTTTAAAACTTACATTAACAAATAATTTTTCTGTTTTTTATTTTTAAAAAACAAAAAATTACATTTAAAAAAAGAAAACAAACTGGCCTTAGGTGTTCTATTTCCTATATACTTTTTATTTTAAGAATATTAATTAGCATTCTTCATAAAATTATAAAATAATCAATAAACAATAATAAAAATAGTAAATATATTTTTATTATAATGATAATATTGCATGAGTTCAAGTACAATAAAGTATCAAGTTATTTTACAATAAATTGATAATTAATGAGAGAATGACACGACATAAAAAAATTAATAATGTATTAATTCACATATTTAAATAATAAATACATCAATTTTAAAGTTACAATTATTATTATTTAGAAATATTTTTGATTTTAATATTTTTTGTATTTATTTTAAATTGAGTTAAAGTTGTCCTCGTATATCATGTTTTTTTTTCAATATAAAAAACGTGTTTTATATATAAAAATAAGTTTTAATTAAAAATGGTGCATAAGAAATAGTTAAATAACGTATTTGTTGATTTCTAACTAAATTAAATATATATATATATATATATATATATATATATATATGAAAAAAATAAAGCGTTCAATATAAACCGTTTAATCAGATTGGATTAAATTTAAATTTTTTTAATTTAAACCCAACCAGTATTTGTTTTAATAATCAAATTGGATGATTTTTCCTAATTGTCTGAAAATCAATCTGATACATAAATAATATAATCCCTAACATTTATAATAATAAAATAAATATTTGTGATGTTTAGGAGAGTCAAATAAAAGTTTTGTAATATTAAGAGAGATCAAGTGGGGAACAACAAAAAAGAATCACAATGAAATCATTTAGTAATATATATATTATAAGATTTTGTTAAAAATATATAAAAAAAACATAATTTTTAATATATTTTTAACCTAATTTTCGATAAAATTCTATATTTGTTAATTGAAAAATAATTATTAGAAAGAGATGTGTGCAAAATATTAATAAGGAAAAGAAGGAAAGGTATCTGAGGCAGATACCAAAAGTTCTTGCGTCTACTTCAAGTTTGGAACGTGCTCACAAGTCACCGCATCATTGATAATAACCTAAAAGAAAAAATCTGCACGATTCAAGTTTGAGATGCACAATTGAGGGCTTTCATTTCAACACTTCGCATCTCCTTCAGTGCTGATCCGAACGGAACCTTCACTTCTGTTTTCTGCGTCGTCGTTTTGTACCTCATTCTCCAATTCAAGGATAAAGGTAAACTACCCATCAAGCTAATTCTGCTTTAAATTCAACATAGATGTAGAAAGCCCCAAACTTGGTCAACAGGGGTGTTACTTTCTACTTGGGTACATCCATCAGTGTTTGCAATTTATTTGTCACTTTTTTTTTTTTTTTAATTTTGGTGGAATGTAAATGACTAAATGGCTATGTTTGCTGAAGAGTTTTATTATAGATTGTAGTTGATCGCTGTCATGCATCATTTTAAAACGAGTTTCTTATGTTGCATGTGTATTTGTTTATAATTTAGAATATTTGGCATGCTGTAGTCTGATTGTGTTCTATTTTGGTTATTTTGTAACATTTCTTCTAGGAAGGTATGATGAAAGAAAGTTCCAAGGGAAAATGTGGATCTTCCTCCCATCAATCCATGAAAGAGAAGGAAAAACACCTTGTGGATAAAATTCAAGGGATTTTCACCAATCTTCAGTCTGCAAGAAAGGAAGGAAGGACTAATGACATTGTGATCTTTGAGGAGCAGATGCATCAGTTGCTCCGCGAGTGGAAAGCGGAACTGGAGTCTCCGACCACCTCCTTAGCTGTATGTTTTTGAGTTCTTAAACGTAGCTGATTATAATACTAGTGCATGTTTATTTTTGTCCATCTCAAAAATAGAAACAAAAAGTTAACGCATTGCAATATATGCTGGCCATGGCATTCTATAGGATGGAAGCCTTGATTCGTTTACTAGCGAACTTGCCCAACTGTTGCAAGTAATTGAGGAGAAAGATGATGCTATTAGTCCATTAACAAAACCTGAGCCATTGAAGACCGAGCTCCATCCAAATAACATTAGTGATAACAATTATTCGTTTTTTCAGGAGGTAGGTTTCTTGAACTAGTTTTGGAGTCCCTTTTTTAATATGTTGCCTGGTTTGGAAAACTTTACCTCTATTAATTTGTTTATTATGCTTCTCAGTCGTATTCTTTTGATATAAGTTTTTACAGTTACAAAATGAAAAATATAATGTATGTATTATGTGAATCCTTTATTTGCTCTTTTGGCATAACTGAATATGTTGACACTAACAGCTGCTGTTTTTGTTTGTCAACTTTCTTTTTTTGTTCTTATCTGATGGCTTCAACTGCACTGGAGTTTATTTTTTCTTGTGCTAGATAGTTAACAAGTAAACATCAATGAGGAGTGTTGAAGTTATAAAATAAAGTATAGCATAAGGGAAGACTACTGATGCCTGTGTGCTGTGTGGTCTTTTTGTTTGTCTCATTGGCTTAGATAATTTTTTGTCTTTCTGTTTATATGGGAATCAAACATGAGTTCAATACCATAACCCTACCCAAACTCTATCCCAATTCCCATGAGCTATGCCCAAGCCATCCTGTTATTTGATGTTACTTGTTGAAAGTTTTAGGAAGAACATGCAGTGAGTCCCCTTTCAGGAATTCATCGGTTTAGGGAGGATTAGGAAAAGGAACTCTTAAAAAAACATTTCTAGTTGGGAATAACTAACCACTTTACCTGTTAATATTGTTCAGAATTGTTAATATGGAACCACTTATTGCCTTGCTAAACATTTGAGTAGTTCATTTTTCCTAAAACAGAAATATTTTTACAACAAATTCTTCTATTATATTTTCTCAAAAGAACTTATCCAGTGTATAAAGAAATAGAATATATATGAGCAGAAACTTCTAATCTGTACAATCATATTTTTGAGTTTTACTGATGAATCTTTTGTTTCCTTGTTTTTCTTTAAGCAATAGTAGTTGACAATTGGTATCTTGCAGAAATGTTTTGATGATAACCAAACACTAGATCATACTTTCGAAGGCTCTGCTTCAACTCTGTACAACCATGCTCTTAATAACTCAGATATGACACAGTTGGATTATCATCCATTCAGTTTAAATCAAGATTTGAATCACAACACAGGTCACAACTCTGATTTGATTGGTCAGTTTGATTTATACCAGGAACTCAGGTACAACACACAAGTAAAAAACTCACAGTCAACTCAATTTACTTTTGAAGAAGGCTTTGATTGTAGCCAGTTTTTTGGAGCTGATGACACTGTGCAGTGTGGAGAGAATATTATACCTAACATTCTTCCAAATATCCGCCCACCACCTTCTGCTTTTTTAGCCCCAAAATGTGCACTGTGGGACTGTTTCAGACCTGCCCAAGGGGTAGAATGGTGCCAGAACTACTGTAGTAGTTGTCATGAGCTTTTGGCAAATAGTGAGGGTCTTCCTGGCATGACTCCAATTTTGCGACCTGGAGGCATTGGTGTAAAAGATGGTCCTTTGTTTGCTGCTGTTCTTGCAAAGACGCAGGGAAAAGAAGTGGGCATCCCTAGTTGCGAAGGCGCTGCTTCAACTAAATCACCCTGGAATGCTTCAGGTGAGAGTAGGCAAGGAGGTTTATTACTTTTGTTGTTTTGCACTATTTTATTATATATTTATATGCATTAATGCTTTGCAAATTCTAGCAACAGGTTTGTCTATCAAATGTATTGTTGAAGATAGTATTCCACCCATGCTTATAACTTTTCATCCATATTATTTAGGTTTGAAATGTTAGCTTTTTTCTGTTGCAGAGTTCTTTGATCTTTCCTTTCTTGAGGGTGAAACTGTTAGGGAGTGGCTCTTCTTTGACAAGCCTAGAAGGGCATTTGAAAGTGGAAATAGGAAACAGAGATCACTCCCAGATTACAGCGGGCGTGGTTGGCATGAATCAAGGAAACAGGTGATGAAGGAACATGGGGGACAAAAGAGGTCCTATTACATGGATCCACAGCCTCTTAGTTATCTTGAGTGGCATTTGTATGAGTATGAAATCAATAACCATGATGGTTGTGCATTATACAGACTAGAATTAAAGCTTGTGGATAAAAAGAGAAGTCCTAAAGGAAAAGTGACCAAGGAATCCCTAACTGATTTACAGAACAAGATGGGAAAGCTTAGTGCTGCTGTTCCATCATTCGATGATGGACACCCAATCAAGGGAAAAACAAAGGCCAAGTCTGAGAACATTGAATCTCCTGAAAAGTAAATTAATAGCTCGTTGAGTAATTTAACCGAATGACTGACCAACTTGTACATATTTGAGTATGGATAACAGCATGCAGAAATTTCTGTCATTCTCAGAACAAGGTAACATGCCAATATCAGTTTCTTGTGGTAGAAGAGGCTCAAATTCTTGTCCAATGAATTTATTGTTAGTCTACTTTTAGATATTAGCATTATGTTAAGTCTACTCATAAGGAACTCAATGTATGCTACATAGATTAAAAGATAGATCTATTCTGTAAGAAGATTCTGCATGCTTTCTGATGGATCAGTGGCACTTTCATTTGTTGGCTATCACCCAAATTTCTGACATACTCTTAAAATTTAGTTGCATTAAGTTGCTTGTACATGTTCTCTATTGGTGGGATTAGTTTTATTACCAGTACCACTGCTGCAATTCCATGAGGAATGCAAAATAGAACCTGTGTATATATATATGCAAGCACTTTGTTGCCTTTTCTTGAATGAGACATCACTGCTCATGATTTTTATTACATGTTTGGTTTTGAGTTTGGAAAGTCCCAAATCATGATTAGAAATCCGTACAAGAAGCTTACTTTTGGCATAGTGTTTTTGGTTTAGTAAACCTCATGGATCCAGATTCTCTTCCATTCACGCAGCAACTGGATGTCCAGTTATGACAAAAGGATGTGGAGGTGCAGAGGAAAGGGGGAGAAGGTGTGGGGAGGGAGGGGGCTGAAAACGGAAGGGAGAGCTGAGTGGGTGGGAGCTGAGGCTGAGGGGAGCACAGCGCTGGGGGAAAAAGGAGAGCTGGGTGGGGGCTGGGAGAAGGGAGAGCAGGATGGGAGTTGGGGAAAGGGAGAGTGGGACTAGGTGGGGTGGGAGTTGGGGGAAGGGAGAGCGGGACTGGGTTAGGGGAGGGAGGGCTGAGAGGAGCTTGGAGGTGGAGGGAGGGGGGAGCTTGAGGGTGGGGGAGTGGGGAAGGGGGGAGAGCTTGGAGTATTTTTTGGGGGGCTTGGGATGGGGAAGCTTGAACGTGGGGGAGGGAGGCTGAGGGGAAAAGCTTGGGAGTGGGGGGGAGGGGGAGTTTGAGGGTGAGGGAAGAGCTTGGAGGTGGGAGGGAACTGGAAGCTTGGGATGGGGAAGGAAGAAGGTAACTCAGAAGGGGAGAATGAGATAAATCGGATTTGCTTAAGTGAATTTGAAACTGGAGGTCTAATTTTCCACGCAAATGGGAGAGGATCCGTTTCCCTCGTGAAGAAGGTATAGGTTTGTGTGACATGTCAATAAGATATCAAATATGATAGATGCTAAATCTGTGCCAAAAATTAGCCTAATATTCTCTTAATATTTAGAGAAATGGTATCTTATAATACTTCACAAAAAAAGTATTTAATATAATTTTTATTTTTATTTTGTAAGTAGGAGGATTAGTAGAAAGAATTTGTAGGATTTATAATCTATTCATTCACTTAAAGATGAAAGAAAGAACAAGATATTTTTTTACCTGTCAATATATCAAATGTGCATGCCTCTCTGTCACTGAGTGTATACGTGTTTTAAGATTAGGGGGCGCGATTTCTAAGCAGGATTTAGCAATTCTTGTGAGGCAGTTATTGACTGAATAGTTTTTGGGATGATTGTTAATTATATGGCTCTTTTGGAAAACTAAAGTGTCTTGAGTTCCAACAATAACTTGTTGGGTTCTCCCGAGGGTTGGTGACAAGGCTCAAGGTTGTGCAGTTCTCAAGATCCAATCACTTAAGTTTTGGTCATTATCTTCATGCTTCTTGTCTCAGCTTTCCTTATCTTTAAGTTGTTTATGCATGCGAGTTTAATTAATGGTGAACAAGAATGCTCCACCAACTTAGATGCAAACCCATAAATAACACACCATTTAGGGGATTGTAGATGGAATTTAGGATGGACAGTATAACAAAATGTGGCTCTTTTTTTTATTTTCAAAATACAAATATATGGTTTTTTTTTTTTGGGCAAAATTACAGAAATATATAAAATTTTCAAAAACACCAATAGTGACTTTTAGAACTTTTAGAATATTTTATTGTTTTAAAAATCATTATCGGCAAATTTTGCTTTTTTAAATTTTTTAAAAAATCATTATTAATAATTTTTTACATTTTATAACCTTTTTTATCTTTGAATTTTTGTATGTGATGATTTTTAAATCCTATATTTTTGTAATATTTTTTAAAATATTATATTTTTGTATACATTATTTCTAAACACTATTAAAAAGCTAATTAACCAAATGTTGTCAACTCCAACAGCCATTGGCAATCAAATAAAACAATAAAATAAGGCTAATTTTGGACCAATATAAAGTATTTATCAAATTGATTTATTTATTTGTTTACAGGAAAAGTCAACTAAATAAATTATAGAATATTGACTAGACTAATATTCACAACATTGATTTTACCAGTATTTCTATGCAATTTCTTTCTTTTAGGAGTAAGTAGTGAATAAAGTAATAAAAGCTCATTTTAAATATAATGACCAGCCATTCAATGCAAGAAAAAAAATTGCAGCAACAATCTCCCCTTGTGTACCATAAAAGCCATCATGTATTCCACTTAATTAAAATTAACTTAAAACATATTTTTAGTCTTGCAAAATATATATTGACTTTAAATTTTTATCTTTAAAATTATTTGTCCAAGTTTTACTCCTTAAAGTTTTAAATTAAAATTTATTAATTTTAGTTCCTTTTATTAATTTAGCTCCAGAAAAAAGTGTTACTTAGAAAAAATTTGATGTATGATAATATTTGAATTTGTTATTTTATTATTTAAAAGTAATTAGAAATTAAAATTAATAAAATATTTTAATGTAAAAATTAAAATAAAAAATAATAATTTTATGAGACCAAAATCAAAATTTGATGAATTATTTATTTATTTAGAAAACAAATCTGAGAGAGTATCGCTCATGAAACACAAACCAGATCTCAAATTATTAGGCTTCTTATACAAAGTGTTCGTAGAAAATGAGCGACGCAATTATGTTTCAGCATATATTTGAGTGTATAATATTCAAGGCTATTTGTTAAATATTTATTGGTTGACAGTTTTAGAATAAATAGATAGTAAATTGGTAATTTTTATATTATCTCAAAGATTAACAGCATATTTTATGTCTTTTGTATGTAAAATAATTATTATTAATAATAATATATTTAATATGTACAAAATTATTATTATTATTATTATTATTATTATCTTAAACATGTATAGTAGATGATGAAAAGACATAGTAACAAGTATTTATTAAATTTTAATAAATATTTATTTCTTAAAATTTTCTTCTGGTGCCATATACATGTTTCTTTAAATGTTTTACTTTATTTTAAAATATTTACAACTTACAAAATTTTAAAAAATTAATTATTTTTAATAATAACCTCATTTATTTCATTTAAACACTTAAATGAGTCTATGACATTATAATTCATTTAATAAAGATAAATTTGTAAAAAAAAAAATTCTATTATGATAATTTATATACACTTAATAATTTTTTAAAGGAATATATTATCTTAGAAGATAATAATGCAAGACTGAAATAATAATAGTTTACAGGAAATAAATACAGATAATTTATTAAAACAAAATAAAGAAATCATAATAATCTCTTAATAAAAATAATTTTTTTATATAATTTAATATTACATGATTCCAGCCAATCACATAATAATACATATATATTATTTATAAATTATTCCCTGCCAAAGCAAGACTTGAGTGATTAGTCTAATGGTAAGTAGCACAAGTTTTGACTGGTGGCTGCTTCATGTGGTGGGTGAAGTTTGTCATTGTAGATACTCCACATTGTCATTATCTATGAACTTCAACAATTAGATATGGTGTCCCCAAAAGTACTATTATTGTCTCTATTATTTGATGGCAGATAACATTTTTTATTTATTTATTTCAACACTCATGCATTAATGTCAAGTCATACTTCTCAGACACTCCTGTTCATTTATACACCAGTCTTCAGAGGAAATTTGTCTTAGATATAAAAAAAGTAGATGATAAAAAATAGAATAAGAAAAACTGATATTTAGATGGATTAAAATAAAAGATCGAAATAATAATAAATTAATTTATTTAGTTAAATGAGTTGAAAATAACAATTGAATTATGATAAAAATATTTATAAAATAAAATTAATTTTAAAATTTTAATTATATTATTTAATATTTTATAAATAAAAAAAATTAAAACAAATTATTCTCTCTCTGTCATTCTCATACTCTCTAAACAAATCATTACAGATTTAAACACTCTTAAGAACTTATTAACTTTTGTTCATTCGAGTTCTCACTCTAAATATGTACTTTTTATAAATCGAAGGGTTGAGTAGAAGTATAAAATTATATTGCGTTCACGTAAAATTAGCTTTGAACCTTCAGACTTAGATATGCTGTAATTTCTTACTTCAGACAAAAAAATTTATTTTTTATATTTGAAGTGTATTTTTAATATATATATATATAATTTTAATAATTTGAGTAATAAACTTATTTTTTTCTTTGTACGTCACATGATCGAAATATTTAGAATTACTGGATAACAAAGTTTCAATGTCAATTCACTACCCCATAAGAGCCATCAAATTTGGGGCTTTAGTGTTTAAAACGTAAATATACATATGCAGTCAGACAAACAAAACGTAATTTTACATAATTGGTTCACGTCATTATTGATATAATATTTAGGAACATGTATACAGAGATTGAGAGAGATATAAAATGAAGAGGGGAATATGCTACAAGATATCTGACACAGAGATAGAAAAGTTAAATATTGTACAACTTTGTTGTAGAAAAATAGTATCTTTTCTACCATTATTATAACCCAAACGATCATAGTTTACAAGCTTAGTACATCACCTCGACAAAAGACTACCACGACTTGTATGCAACAACATTCCAATATAGAACAAAATGGAAAATGCGTCTTAGAGGGTGTATACATACATGAGAGGAATCGAAAGAAGAAAAAAGAGAAAATTGTAAATATGACAAATGATTCCCCAGGAAAAAAGAAACAGGCGTTGATTTGGTGTTTCAAGAGCAGAATTGTAAGAAAATTCCACATAAAAGAACTATCTGAATTGCGCTTTTAGGCTCCACATTCCATCTGTGAAGAACTAACATCATCTCAATTCAAAGCAATAATCATGTAATGATCATTCAGCACTATCAGCGTTACTATCAACAGTTAGTAGATCCTTTCCATCAACAATATCTTGAAGCTGCTTGCAAAAATTGTCAACATAAGAGGACTCCAAGTCTTTGTGGAGCAACATTTCTCTGAGCCTAGTATGATTATCCCTCACTTTTTTGCTGGTTTCATTCTCATCATCCATCACAATGCTCACAGCTTTGCACACACTCTCCTTGCTGTACATTCCATCATCATCTTTCTCCACTTCAACACCAACCTGCAAGTTGTTTCCCATCATTCTTGCATTCAGAATCTGGTCACCAACATTAGGCAACAACACAAGCTGACAGTTATTCACCAATGCCTCAGACAAAGACCCTGAACCACAATGTGTAATGAAGCACCCCAAGGAAGGGTGTGCCAAAATCAACTGCTGCAAAACCCATCCCCCGTACACAAACCCTCTTCCCTGAACCCTCTCTTCAAACCCCTCGGGCATTGCTGCTTCAACAGACTCAAACCCTGAAGGGGGTTTCACAGCTGCTAAGAATGGCATGCCAGTGAGCTCAAGACCAAGCAACAACTCTTGGAACTGATTAGATCTCAAAGTGCATTCACTTCCAAAACAACAATAAACCACTGAGCCAGGTTCAAAGCCTCCAAGCCATGTAGCAAATTTCTCTTCCAAATCGGAAGTTGGTGGGTCTAGAATAACTGGCCCAGATGCAAGCACAGGCTTGTTGAACTGTTTCCCAAGGTAATCCATATAAGGCCCTTCAATTTCCCTACAAGTTCTATATGCCAACACATCAGCTTCTTTCAATGCAATGAATTGGCGATCATAGAAAAGCACATTGCTTCCAAACGTGTCCTTCCTTTTTGAAGCAAAGGCACGTGCCTCATGAGCATGAAGCTTGATTGATGCATCAGGGTACCCTTCTGGGGGTTCCATTAACTCACTCTCACTTAGGTCATTTCCTTGATAATATCTAGCTGGTGTAAGAGTGTAAGCAAGCATCACAGAACTAGCAGTGCAATAGTGCACACATTTGATGCCTAAACGTTTTGCCAAAGGTGGCATCCAATGCGTGAAGTCGTAGAAAATAAGGTCAGGTTTCAGATCACTAATAAAGGTTTCTATTTCATCTTTAGTAAGATCCATGGCTGTCATGATGTGTGGTTGCAAAGGGTAAGGAACATCTGCGGTTGTTTCTGCATTGGGTGGAAGGCCTTCAACATGAGGAACAGTGATGGGCACAAAGGTGATGAGATCTGGGTGGAGATTGAATGGTTCTAATATAGCTTGTGCACTTTTTGGGGTGATGAAGCTTATTCTTTGACCCCTTTTGGCTAACTTGTTGCATAAGTGGAGGAATGCTGTTTGATGACCCATGGCTAGCCATGGATACATTGCTATGTGAAGAGAACGTGAGGAATCCATGTTTTTTGGCAATGAAAATTGAAGAAGGAAAAAGTACTGAACCAAAGAAGATGAAATGAGATGGGCCAGTGTGAAATGTAGGTTTGTTAAGTCAAGGAAAACATGCGAGGATAAAGGAGGTCCTTTGGTTCTTACGGTGATGGGAGTTTGTATTTATAGACAACTAAGCCATGGTGGTAACCACAAAATAAGGGTTGCATGATATAGAATTTGTTAGAGGCGTACAAATAATAATAATAATAATAATAATTTGACAGCTTCGAATATAGAGAAACATACTAGGATAGGATGACTAGTTCGTTGGTTCTTGCGGTGGTGGGAGCCTATATTTAGATAGAAGTGAGCACATCGGGGTCCTCATCACAGAAATACAACGACAAAATATCATCAAAATTTACAAGTTACATATAATTATTCTTGTTTATTTGAAAAGTTTTCCCACAGGAAATTACATGTTTGTGACCATAATATTTGTTATTAAACACTTTAAAAGTAATCGTTAAAATAATTATGTGACGATATTTAAATTCTTCATCTATCATAACTTAATTAAGTCACTATTATATTTTTGACGATATTATATAGTCACTAAAATAAAATATTTATTATAACAAAAATTAACGTTACTAATATATATGAGTATTAATGACAACTACTAATATTAGTCACTATTATTCTAAAATTAATGACTAATGTATTCATCACTATTAGAAATTATTATAAATAAAATTTTTAGAACCAAAATTTTTTAAAAATTAATATTTAATTAATAATTTATATATTATTACTTAAATATATATTACTAATAATTTTTATTATTATTCTTTAAAATTAACGTTATTATGATATTAAAGTGATTATATTATAACAATTGTATTTTTAAATAAAATAAATTAAAATTAAAATCATAAATAATAAATTATGAAGACATAAATTGAATCATAAATTTAAATATAATAAATATTCAATAAAATTTTACACATGAAAATTATAAATAAAATTAAAATACAACATCAATATATTAAAATTCTAAAATAAGAAAAAACTAATATTAAATTAAATAAATAAAATAGAATGAAAGATGCTCTCATGAATTCTGATATTGCACATAAGAAAAAAGAAAATAAAATACTATTAATAAATGTAAATTAATCAATTAATAAAATTTTAAGAATGTAATCATATAATAGTTAAGTAATAAAAACTAAAATAATTAATAAACTTACCGTTAGAGCATGTGAATTATTAAATAGTTTGTTAAATAATAATTCTCCTAATAAGATAGTCCACTGACGTTTTATCTCCATTTCAAGGTCTTGTTTCATTTGTTTTTGTTGAGATTCAAAAGTTAATTTTTGAGCATCAATCAATTCACGTTGAGATTGCAATTCAACTTGCAATTGAAAATTAACCTCCTCTTATTTTCTTAAAATATAAGTCAATTTTTCACCTCTGATTCTAAATCATTTGCTCTCTTTTTCCATTCTCAACTTGATTTTCAATAATTTGTTTATTTATAATTTTTTTTGTTATTGCTGCACTTCCTAAACCTAAACCAAGTAAGTGATTTGGTTTTCTTCCTAATATAAGTGCAAAATGCTCGATCAATGACACTGGAGCTTGAGAAATATCTTTTTGGTATACATCTCCTATATTCTTCAAATCTTTCTGTAGAAAGTTTAAAATAAATAAAATAAAAATATAAAAATTAGATAATTTGGGAAAGAAAAATATTAATGAAATTTTTATTTCAACTACCACAACTTTTAAAAATATTTTCTCTTACCATAATTTGTACACCATTAGGAGTACACCATATTCTATTAGATCTCAGCATCTGGCCATTTATTAGTTTTTAAATCTTCTTTCTATTAAAAATAAAAATAAATAAATAAGAATTTAAAAATAATAAAAGTTAATTGATAAATTACTAAAAAAAAAAAAAATAGTAATACAACATCATCAATTATGATTCAACATCATCAACTTGAAAGATATCAATTATAAATCAATAATATCAAAACACAAACAATAATTTAACGTCATTATAGATTAAGCTACCAATTAGAAATTTCAATAAAAGATATCAAAATTATCTATTATAGTTAAAATTACTCATATTTTTGTTATAAACATAGATAAATACCATTTCAAATTACTCATGTTATATATAATGCATAAAAATTAACATAAAATACAAAAAAAATACCATTTTAAATGCCTGTTACACAATTAATTTTGTACCAGTGATAGATTTAATCTCTTGCTTATTTCGATTAGCTTTATTTTTCAAGCTTCCCTCCTACATGAAATGAAAATGATTTATTATTATAAGTATAAAAAAAATTAAACTAAAGTTAAAGATAGAGAAAGAAATGTACCTTAAATTTAGAATCACTCCATTTGTTTTCTATTAGCCAATTCCAATCCTGACGAGACACATCATTTGGCTTCTTTTTTTTTTTAAGATATGCTCAATACAAATTATGATGTCTAGTCTTATATTGAGATTGCATTTGTTTCATAGCATATTCTTTAACTTTATCAGACAACCATAAGATTTCCTAAAGTCATGTAAATTTATTAGAAGAGACAAATCAAAATATTATAAAATATTTTGTTAGGTTAGAAAATATTGTATAAAACAAGTAAATAAGTGAAGTAATGTTAACCTTCATATGTTTCCACATTGCATCTACATTATCTTCGTCAAAGACTGTAAGGTATCACCATTCTCAAAAATAGTTTTTATCTGTGTCATATTTCAAAACAATTACATGTCAATCCTATAGCACTAGCAAAAATCATATCAGTAGACGACACTAATGACACAAAATAACATGATAGTAACTAATTAATCTCAGTACCTTTCTTTTTTGTGACCCATGAGCATTTTCAATGGCAAAGTTGTCATCTTTATGGTACTCGTTTTCTTCATTCTCAGCTTTATACTCTTTATCTTCTTCATCTTCAATTTTTCGATCTTCATCTTTCTTATTCTTGACATTCTCAAGTAGACTCTTGAAGAATAAAGTCATTTGAGACAATCTCAACTATTCTAATTTTGCTTTATTTTCTGCAATTCTTTGTAGTCTCTTTTTCTCGTATTCTAACATAATTTTGTACAAAATGATTCTACTTAAAAAATAAAAAAGTATTAGCCATTTTATACAAGAAATAGATAAAATGCTTATTTTTTATATAGTTTTAATTGAAAATTATAAAAATAAAAATTTGTTACATTAGATAATATCAACTGTAACAAGAAACAATTTTTTTTTGCATCTATATTTTTTCTAAACTTTTGTATTATAATTATGCTACTTGTTTTTTTTATATATTTTTCAAATTTTAAAAACAATAGAAAATTTTAATAGAATATCAATCGTAACAATTTAAATTTTTTAAATTATATTATATTAGATATTAATAATGATAAGATACATTATTTAATTGCATCTATATATTTTAAAAATTTTTGTATTTAAATTTGTAAACTTGTTTTTAATATATATTTTATATTTTAAAATTCTGTAAAAATGAAAAATAGATAACATGCTTATTTTTTATATAGTTTTAATTGAAAATTATAAAAATAAAAATTTGTCACATTAGATAATATCAACTGTAACAAGAAACAAATTTTTTTCTCATCTATATTTTTTCTAAACTATTGTATTACAATTCTACGACTTGTTTTTTTTTTTATATATTTTTCAAATTTTAACAATAGAAAATTTTAATAGAATATCAATCCAAACAATTTAAATTTTTTAAATTTTATATTATATTAGATATTAATAATGATAAGATACATTATTTAATTGCATCTATATATTTTTAAAATTTTTGTATTTAAATTTGTAAACTTGTTTTTAATATATATTTTATATTTTAAAATTCTGTAAAAATGAAAAATAGATAACATGCTTATTTTTTATATAATTTTAATTAAAAATTATAAAAATAAAAATTTGTTACATTAGATAATATCAACTGTAACAAGAAACAAATTTTTTTCATCTATATTTTTTCTAAACTTTTGTATTACAATTCTGCGACTTGTTTTTTTTATATATTTTTCAAATTTTAAAAATAATAGAAAATTTTAATAGAATATCAATCCTAACAATTTAAATTTTTTAAATTTTATATTATATTAGATATTAATAATGATAAGATACATTATTTAATTGCATCTATATATTTTTAAAAATTTTCTATTTAAATTTGTAAACTTGTTTTTAATATATATTTTATATTTTAAAATGATATAAAAATGAAAATTAGATAATATGCTTATTTTTTATATAATTTTAATTAAAAATTATAAAAATAAAAATTTGTTATATTAGATAATATCAACTATAACAAAAAACAAATTTTTTTTGCATCTATATTTTTTCTAAACTTTTGTATTACAGTTCTACAACTTGTTTTTTTTTTATATTTTTCAAATTTTAAAAAGAAAAGAAAATTTTAATATAATATCAATCGTAACAATTTAAATTTTTTTAATTTTATATTATATTAGATATTAATAATGATAAGATACATTTTTTATATACATTTTAAATTTTTAAAAACTATAAAAATAGTAATTATACATTAACTATTATATATTTTTTATGTATATATACGTGTATATGTACCTAATATTATATTTATATTTATATGCGAATAATTATGTTTCAAGTAGAGTTTGGTAAATTTATTAGAAAAAAAAGAAAGCGAGGAGAAATTCAATTGCGTAGGAATTAGAAGTAAAAAAGTATTTTCTTTGAATTGCCTTATTGAAGATATCTAAAGTTATGGCACAATCTAGATGTCATGTATATTGAAAATAATGTTTGTGACAACATACAAGGAACATTGATGAATCTTGAAGGAAATACTAAAAATAATATAAAATCATGTTTTGATTTAGAATATTTGGACATACGACATGAGTTTCACGCAACTATGATTGAAGAGGGTAAATATACATTTCAACCTGCATGTTATACTATGTCATACAAGGAAAAATGTGTCTTTTATCAATTTTTAGTTAACTTAAAAGTCCCTAATGATTACATGTCCAATATCTCTCGATGTATAGATGTTAAAGAAGGGAAAATATATGGAATGAAGTGTCATGTACTTTTACATCGCTATCTTCCACTTTCAATTCGTGGTTTTATGCAAAATGAGGTTTGTGAGACACTAATTAAACTAAGTTGCTTCTTTAAAGAGATATGCTCTAAAACATTGAGTATGGAAAACCTGGATTTACTTGAAAAATCAACCGTTATAACCTTATGCAAGTTGGAAAAAATATTTCCTCCATTTTTTGACATAATAGATATTTGCGTAGGCTTAAATCATATGTCAGAAATAAAGCTTATCCAGAGGGATATATTGATGAAGCATATATTGCAAAAGAATGTTTGCACTTTTGTTCGAGGTATTTGTATGGAGTTGAGACAAGATTAAATAGATGTGGACGAAATTATAAAGGTGATTTTGACGAGTGTAACAAATTAAAGTTGGACATTTTTTCACAATTTGGCAAACCATTACATGGAAAAAAGTATGTTAAGCTAAGTTTAGTAGAGTGGGAACAAGCTAGAATCTATGTTCTCAAAAATTGCGATAAAGTCTCACCATTTATTGAGTAAGTGATTTTTTGAAATTATTTATTCATATATTTATTGTAATTATATTTAATTCACTGACTATAATTTTTTTATTATGTTCAAATGACTAGATTACACAAGGAAGAATTAGTCAAAGCAAACTCACAAAATGTGGAACAAAGATATGAAAATGAATTTTAACAATGGTTTAAAAAGCATGTAAGTATATTTTATATATTTGTCTATTTATTATACAATTTTAGCATACAAGTTATCTTATAAATACTTTATACAATTTTTTTTAATAGATTACACTGTTGAAAAAGAACAGAGAAGAAAGTATATCTGAATCATTATTTGACTTGGCTTGTGGACCTGATAAACGTGTTTTACGATATACAAGTTATCTTATAAATGAATGGAAGTTTACTACAAAGGATCATGATATGCAGTTAAAATTATAAAATAGTGGAATTTTGGTTACAAGCGATGAGACTGCAGGTAATTTAAATTATTTTAGTGTCTTAACAGATATTGTTGAATTGAGTTATTTTGGTGGAAACAATGTTGTTTTATTTAAATGTGATTGGTGGGACGTAACTTCTAAAAGAAAAGGATACAAGGAAGATAAATATGAATTTTTTCTTATCAATAGTAATTGCAAATTGAAGATCAAAGAGCCATATGTTTTAGCCAGTCAAGCTCAAGTGTATTATGTTAAAGACACTAAAGATCCTATTTGGCTAGTTGTTGTGAAAACAAAACCTAAAAACTTGTATGACATGCCAGAGGTTACAGATGACGCGTGTCAGGAAAATGTTGAGATTGGTTCAATTCCTATTATACCTAATGCATTGAGTAATGATCAAGTATTATCTTTGAATAAGATTGATTTAGCATAATCTATCGTTAATGGAAGTCCAGTTATGCTCACAGAAGTTGTTGATGATGAAGAAGAAAGTGATTATGAAAATATTGACTTAACAGAAGATTTGATAGAAGATAAAGAAACAAATAATATAAAAAAATATGATAATATGATGATTAATTTATCTGAAAAATAAAGATATCTTCACTGAGTGTGCACCAAGAATTTAGATTAAAAGTTCGTCATTTTTATTATAATTTATTTGTTTTATATATAATTTATTTTTTACTTTTTAAATTTACTTCGTGATATCAACTATTTTGAATGATTTTTTTTTTGACAATTTAATATTCTTCAATTTGTTAGAATCTTTTTGCATGTTTTATTATTATCTTTAATATATTATAGGTATATCTATAGTTCCAGAAATGTGACCTGCATACATTATAATTAATAACAATTTTTTTATTTATATGTATTATTCAAAAATTATAATATATTTTTATTTAAAGTATTTCATACAGAAAATGAAACATCTAATGAAACTATTGATTTTTCACATATATTTTTAAAATTAAAATTATATGTAAATAATATGTAAAATATACTCATTCTTTCTATAATAATTTTACTTTTTGTTCACTTTTTTAATTCTAAAATTTTAAAATTAAAATTTTTATTAAATTACTTTTATATAAAATAAATAAATTGTCAAAATAATTTTTACGTTTATATTTAATAAATTTATCTTATTACCTTTATATAAAATGTTAAACAATAAATATTAATTATTTTAAATTTCAATTTTATAAGCATAAATTATTTTAAAAAATCAACTTAATGAAGACTCATTTTAATTTGAAAGTAAAATTCAAAAAAAGTATAAAATTGCTAAAAATAATTTAGTCAACACAAACATAATCGGTAGCATTTAAAAAATTAATTATTATAACAATATTTCAAAGTTTAAAAATTATTTTTTTCTAGTTTGAAAAATACAAATATCTTTCATACAACTTCACTCAAGTAATTAAGATAGTATATATATACTTAAACTCAAAATCAATAATTAAGTTAAAATAATTTCATGTTAATGATTTATACGATTAATTATAATAAAAAGACTATTAAAAAAATAATTTTTTTTGAGTAAATTATAAACTAATTGAATTAAAAAAAATCTTCGATGTGAAAAAAAATCTCACATAGCACAGATAAAAAAACAAAATCATAAAATTGTTTTTATTCTCCTTTAAGTCATTTTTTTAAAAACTACTCTTAAATATTAATATTTTTAAAAATTATTTCTTTTTTCATCATATTAACCATTATAATATATATATATATATATATATATATATATATATAAATAATATTTGTGACTATATAGTCACTAAAATCAAATTTTTTTACATTGTTTGTCATATAAAATTAATAAAAAAAATAAAGTAATTGATATCAATAATTTAATGTACATAGATTGATTTGTAATCAAAACTAATTTTAAAAAATTATATTTTATTATTATAATATATTAAATTTATTTTCATATTTTATATAAATAAAGATATATTAACTTTTAGTGAGAAATAATCTATCACTATTAATGTTACTGTTGATTATTTGACATGTTAAATGAAAAAAATCAAGTTTAAATTTTTAAATAAATTTAAATTTATTAATTATTTTTTTAGTTTCTTTTACTTTACTGTAGTGTGATTTTGGATCTCTTTATTTAACTATTTATTTTTAATTTTTTAGAAATTTAAATTAAGTTTACTTTAAAAATCTATTATATATTTTACAATTTTTTTATTTGTTTATATAAATCAATTAATAAAATGTTATTTTTTTTATATAATTGTTTAATTATCAAATAAAATTTTAAGATACAAAACTTAATTTAAAAGTTTTTAAAATTGAATAGACTAAATATTAATTTAAAAATTAAATTTAAACACTCATAAAAATATAAAAATTCAAAATATACTTAAATTAAAAATTTATTAATAAAATCATAAATATTAATTTTATATACATATTAATAATGAACTTAAAATAAAAAATAAAAATGAATTTTTAATATTATATATTATTAATAAATTATTTATAATTAATATATTTTTATTATTAGTGACAATTTTTAATTAAGTCATTATTAATAATTATATTAGTGACAATATAAAAAAATTTGTCACAAATAATTAATTATTAATGACAAATTTTATATTTGTTACTAAAATCTAGTCATTGAAAATTACATTTCTTGTAGTGCTATAGTTATTATTTATGTCTAAGCCTATTGTAAAACTATTATATTCATAGATCTAATTTTTTGTTACATCTATTTTTTTTATCTCGTTTTTTTTTTCTCATTCTTTTTATATTTCTTTTACTCATTTAACACATTCAATAGGAAAATAGATCTTCTTTACTTTTTTCGGAGAATGGATACAATCTTAGTCATTACAAATTTTTAAAACATTAATAATTTTAAAATAAGTATTTTATTATAATAATTGAATGCAAAACAGAAAGAAAAAAAAATTTAGAGAGAATCTATACTCTTCGTGGGATGTCAAAGAATATTTCGACGTGAAAGAAAGAGGTGGGTGAGGTAGTGACAAACACCACTGGTTTTTCTTTTTATCAATTTGATTTTTTATATTAGTATATTATTATGTAATATTACAGTAATTATTATACTTATGAGATGGTGCTATATTACTTAGTTTAATTTATTTATTTTAAAGTAGGTAAACATTTATTATTATTGTTATTATTGAAAAAGTAGCATTAACCACACAGGTGCATGAAGCTTCTCGTCAGACAACGTGTTGTACTTAACGGTGTATTTGCGTAGATGGACGAACTAGCTACCAATTATAGATATTGAAATTAGAAGTATTAAATAAACTTGATTTATGTGGTATTGTCAGAATAAAGTTATTTTTGGAGAAATTATTTCTTTGGTAGACAAAGTTAGCAACTATTAGTCTCTAAATTTAATGTCTGTCTCTGAGTGCCAACAATCTATACGTGTGTCGTTATAAACAAAATGTTTTTGCTCTTGTCTGTTTCCGAGGGTGAATTCACAACGACCAGTGTATGACAGGAACAAAAGAATGCAAGCTTGAAAAGGCATTAGAATAAGATAGATTAAAAGCACTGCAATTTATGATTCAACAAAAATTTAAATAAAGATAGATTGATAAGATTTAAATATGCAACCGCTATTTGCATATAATGAAATTATTAAATGATACAGAAATTTATTTATTTATGAAACTCAATACAAATGAACTGGTCTTGATTTTCATCTAAGACCAACTTTTATTTTGTTATTTAACTCAATATTCACTCACGTCTTTTGTGATTAATTCGTACAAGAATTTTCCCACTGTTTAACAATATTCTACACATAATGTAAATAAAAATACTTTTCACATTTCTTTATTAACAAAGAAAATTAAACAGGTGAAATGTATACATACCACCGTAACCCACACTATACCTCGATCATGTGCAGAAATTTGCATAAGCTAATGCTGAGCAGAGGACCAAGAATTTGAATCAACCCAGTTGTAAGCTATAGGGCTCAAAAAAGCATCCGGAATGCCAAAGGAACCGACCAAGGCAAGTGCATGTGGTCTAAGTTCAGCACAGAGTCTTGACACTTCTTTTCTCACTGCAGAAGCATTCTCTGTTGACAAGTATCCGTATCGAAGAAAGGCAGCATCTTCATCCATACAAATCACGGCATACAATGATCTCAATAGACCTAAGACATTCTACAGAAGAGATGAGAGCAAAAATATCAATAAATAGATCTGTTTCACATTTTTTACCCAAGAAATAATTGAACAAGACAAAAAAAGACACTATGTATCAGGAATATTCAGCAAGCAATAATATGATTTACCTTCAATGAACCAGCTGGTAGAGTTGACTCAGCATCCATGAATGTTTTTAGTATTGCTCGTTCTGAGAAAGCTTTGCCCAAGTCTTCAGCGAGCTGATAACTCTGGAGGGAAAACAGTTTCAAACTGTAAGATAGTGAAAAGATGGAAGGAAAAAAATAACAAAACTTGGTAGAATCCTCACTAGTATGAAGGCAGACTCTCTGCTTTTTCCATGAGATTGATGTTCTGAAACCTCTTCAGCAAAACGCTTCAACAGATCTCGTTCTCTTAGGTGGAACAGATCAATCTGCGAAAGTGAGAGGTAAGAAACAAAATAGAAGCTTCTACCTCTGCAGTTCCAAATATCAACAGGTATAATGAAATGATTACCTGAAATTCTCGGCTTCTAATGGTGGAACTTGATAACTGAGATGGGATAATTGGGCAAGGTTTGTTCATGTGTTCTAATCCCAAACCACTAAATGGCTTGTTTTTCATCTTACATGCTACGTATTCTGCAAAGAGTGCCTTGCTAATCTGAAGTGAAATGAAGAACCCATGAATATATTGGATAAAAATGAGAGAACTGATGGTCAAATGTGACATAAATTATTTCATATGCTACTTCAAGTGGACAAGTCAAAACTCATAAGCTAAAAGTCTATTTACAAGGATCTCCTAAATTAGAAATGGGAAATGGTGATGTTCTAGAAAACCAAGGTTTACTATACAGTTAAAAACATATAAAACAGATTCTTTAAATTAATAAATTATATTTCATAAAACATCACTATTAAAGAGTAAGAATAGATTTTGTCTCCAACACAATACAAGGGCAACTCAGTGCTTGAGGCTCCCACTACGTGGACTCTAGGGAGGATAAATGCACACAGCCTTACACAAGCAAGCAGAGGTTGTTTCCAGTATACAAACCTGTGACCTTAAGGTCTCAAGGTAGAAATTTTAATGTACCAAGGCTCGCCCTTTTGGTTTCTTACGCATTGTCACAATGATTCATATAAAATTTCTTTAGGGTTTAAGTGTGACAAAGCATATGCTAACCAATATTTTTTGCTGAAATCTCAATTAATAAACAAGTGATAAGGATCAAAATTCTAACCACCTGAACTAAAAGGCTCAAATACTGCATTTAGAAACCAATCAATCAACCAACAGTTTACGCTTTTGATGAAGGCCTAAAGTGGATTTTATCTCCAATAAATTCACTAAGTTCCAACTTCCAAGCTTGAAGCTCCAAGCCAAATGTAAATATTCTCACTAGCCCTTGTCAAACGTAAATAAATTAACTCGATAGGATCCTATTATTGCAATGCAATCAGCTCATCATATGTCTCCTACAGAATACTCATTGTACCTGCTGCATTAGGACATTGTTGTCCCCCTCAAATGTTGAATGCACGTCATATTCACCCTTGAAATGACCAATACGATTTTCAGTTTTAACGCCTTGTCCCCCACAAGCTTCACGGCATTCCTATTTCATGTATTCTACCTTAGTGAGGTCAATGGCATATTCTCTATCAAACCCAAGTATAATAGAAAAACTTACCTGGAGAGTACGCATATTATTCCAAGTAAAAGTAGCTTTGTAAGCACTGGAAATAATATGAATTGTTTTGTTTGACTCGGGTGTTCTTTTGACATACATCATTTTGAGCTCATTTGTGGCAAAACTCATTGCATATCTGTAGAAAAGAGTAAGTAAATGAACACAAACAAGTACTATCTTGGTCCATTAATATCCACCAAAATGGTCAAACTATAATAGCCACTTTTAATTAAATTGCTAAATAGTTAGTCAAAACTGACAACATATAGCAAACCACATGTATGTGTTTGTCTCACTTCTCATGGGTGGATGATGCATGTGGTGTCTAAATCAAATGCTTTATGGTGGAATACAAATTGGAAAATAACTTCTGAATTTATGTATAAAATAATTAATCATGCAATATTGAGAATATTTTTGAAGATTCTTAACATTTGGATGAGAAAAGTACAAGGAGTTGATTTATCCCTTGTTGAGGGATAAATACTTTTGTTGAATCCTTTTGAGGCCTCAGCAAATAGATATCAAAATGCCAGTAACTAGAGGACTTACACCTTAGCAAGTAAAGGTAATAGACGCCGCTGATGACTAGGGTAATCAAGCAGTAAAACTTCAGGCCCGTTTCGTGTAATGGAAAATGCCTGCCTTGTCAATGCATATCGTATAGCAATGGCCAAGCTAATCTAAGAGCAAATAAATGGAACGATAATGCAAGATGTCAAAGTGTGGTATGAATCTGTTAAATACATAGAAAAAACACAAACAAATTTGATCATATCCACAAATAAAGATGTTGTCATTACCTTGGAGATGTAAACAGCACTGACAGCAATAGTAACACGACCAGAGGTCAAAGGGGCTAAGAACGCAGCAAACCGCTGGAGCAAGAGTGTCATACAACAAAAGATATGTGAGCAAGTTTTCCGATGAGAACAAAGAATAGCACAAGGAGCCCAAAGAGAATATCAATCTCTCCAAAAAAGCAAAGTACCTGATCTGCATTTTTTATTGCACTCAAATATTCCCCACTTGGAGAAACATCAGCCACAGAATTCAACAAATTCTCTCTGGGTATCCTCACATTATCAAACCTGAAGACACATGTACAGAACTTCTGAGTTTACACATTCTAAAAGAATTCATTTTTTCAGGCGCAATCTGTGTCGAAAAATGCAAATATTACCAGATACGGCCATTATCAACTCCATTTAAACCAATTTTGTGACCACAATCAGCTATTCGAATGTTTGGACATACGTTTCCATCTGAATCCCTGATTTGAGCAATAAATGCATGCACCCCTTGATTGCTTCCATTTATATTGAGCTGTGAAAAGACTATAGTGTGCGTTGCATGCTGAATAAAATAGCAAGTTAATGTAGTATAATGTTAATATGTACAAACTTGGAGCACGAGAAAAATGTAAGCACCCAAACAATCTTATGACGTCTAGGCTTTTATATATGCATTATGAAGTATATAAAAGAATCCTTACATTTGCTGCACCACCAATCCAATACTTTTGACCCGATTCACATGGACTATTGATGACAAATTCTCCAGTGTTTGAATCATAAGTAGTAATTGTTTCAATTCCTCGAACCTATAAAAATTAGTCTCGAAAGAATTATCAAAAGTGACAAAGTAAAAGCATAATACACTACACGTGGACCTAATGACCACAACTATTGAGCAACCTTCACATACATTACTTCCATGGCCCAACTCAGACATAGCAAAGCAACCCTTGATCTCATAGTTTTCAGTAGAACTCAACCACTTATCATGATGGCGCTGGGTTCCCAGAAACTTTACTGCCCCACCCCTGCATTGCATTAAATAATGTGTTCAGTTACACATGTTAAGAAGTTAAAAATAAAAACTTTTTATTGAAAATAAAAAAAAATTCTTATCTCAAAATTACAAAAAATTCAATATATATTTTTTATAGTAATTTAAAGCATTAAATAAAGTATATATTTTTAACATGTACTTTAAGCACACATTAAAATTAAAAACATCGTATAATCCAATAATGTTAACACCTATTTAACACCTTATCTCTATATTAGATGATGTCATTTATTATATTTGTTAATTTCTTGTTCTTCTCTTCTTTTCCCTTTCTAAATATATACTCAAGGAAGGTAGGAAGTAGCAGTTTTCCATACGTATAAATCACTTGATGCACTATCCATTAGTATCAGTATCTCTGATTTTTCTATATCCACCGTATACTCTCTCTCTTCTTTCCCCTCACATCTTCGTATGCACTTACTCCTAAAACAAATAAATACAGCCTCCAGTTCAAAATAATAATTACTTTAGCAACTTTTATATTTTTTACATTGTTTGTCACTTTACAATTTTAATAATAAATGATTTTTTTTTTCCAATTTTACTCATATAATTATTATAAAAGCTTTGAATTTGTAATAGTTTTATTTTGTCAATAACCACTCGCTCTTTTACTGTCATAGTCATTTCCAAAAAAATTTCCTACCTCGAATGTACCTTCAATAGTACAAAGGTATAATAAGAAATTCAATAGTACTTTGTATAAAAAGCAAGAGTATTCAGTATTATATTTTCATATTTACTTTTTTATGTTTATTTTTTATTTCTTTCTTCTTTTTTACTGTCACCATATCTCTTGCATTCTCTGTTATTTTTTTCTTACTCATTTAAAACGATTATTCAATTTCCAAACATCATAAAATAACCACTCGAAGCGAGTCCAAAGCAATAATCAAGTGAAAACAAAAACTTACGATCCACCCTAATATTTCAGCAACTCTCAAAATATTTATAAAAAAAAATTGAAGAGATATAGAGAAAACCTACCACAAGAACATGTGAACGCCAAGCTTAACAGCGAGCGAATGATCGTACATTCCAATGACTTCATGAAGCGCCAACTTCCTCAGTTCCTCCTCTACACCCTTCCCTGTGAGCCACCCTCGGAAAACCCCTTTCTCCAAGAGATACTCGATGCGCTTCATCGTGATCTCGCGTTGTTGCTCCATCGATTGGTTGTAATCGGGGCACACGAACACTCTTCCACCGTGTTCCTTCCGGTGGAAGAGATTGCTCTGAATGATAACGGAGAAGAGCCAATCACGCTCCTCGATGTTGTGACCGTCCATCAGAATCCGCATCTCTTTCACGTCGAACGCGAAGCAGTTCGCGTTCGAGAGTTCCGGCGGAGTGAAGCTCAAGCAGGAGTGAGGAGAGAGAATGGAGGACGGTGGTGGCGTGCGGCAGAGGAGGTGGTTGGAGAGAATCTCCGTTCGCCGTGTGACGCGGGGATCCATCGCAGTGGGAAAATGATGAAAGGAAAAACGCTGCTTTTTTATGTTTAAGGAAAGAAAAAGGACATCTTAGTGGAAAGCTTTTTGGATATGTTAAGAAAGACTATTCTTTTTCCTCTTTTCTCAAGTTTAAGGAAAAGTGAAAAATTTTGAATTAAAAATAATGAAAAGAAAAAAATTAAATTTAAAATAAATATAATAACTAGGAGGAAAATTAGAAAAAAAAAATTGAATGGATTAGGTGCTGTTTGGGACAGCATGGGCTGCCCAGAAATTAGAAAAGATGGAAAGTCAAGAAATGCGGCAGATTTGAAAAATACTATGCAATATCTTCATAAATAAAATAAAAAATTGAAAATGAAAATTTTATTATATAAAAAGTTTACGACTAATTTAACACTTATTTTTTATTATATAAATAAGACTCAACAAAATATAATGATAAAAGTATTAATCAAATCTCTGTGTAGTGGTTTTTACTGTAGTTTGGGCATATACTGAGTCATGGAGATTGTTCCATCGCCATCATGTTGCTAAAGGACTTCATATTACAAAACTTCATTGTGGAATGGATTTTGGTTGCTGTCAATGCGATGAAAAAGAGTTAAGAGTTTGTTTGTAAATTGATTATAATCGATTCTAATGAAAGTAAAAAAATTATCACTGTCATGTAACCTTCATTGGTGTGTGTATACAAAAAATTGTGTCCGTTTATTCCAAATTAAGAATCAATTATGACATGCCAAACAAGCACTTAGACACCTTCGCATCCTTTTGGGCTTATCACTGGATCAGGATATAGATTTTTTCCATCTTGCTTATCTTGACCATTCCAACTTCTAATTGTCTGGTTCTAGACTCCCCTTTGTAATTTTATTTTTTTTATATTTAGCTAAATTTATATATTGATAAATTAACCAAGAAAAAAGAGCATTAAGGAATAGTGTTATAGCTGGAAAAAAGTACTGCTTTAAGTGTTGCATTGTGTAAGTCCTTGAAATCCTTTGCCGGTGTGGTAAGTACTGCATTTGTGAAAGTATCTACATACTAAAGTTAGCTCCGGCAAGTGCAATGAGGAAGAATGATGAGATGGTTACTTTTGATCAATCTAAGAACCGAATATTGCTTTCATTCAATACAAACAGTAAAATCTGTATATGGGCAACGTGACATCATTCCTATGACAAAACAATGCTTACAGAAAAAAGAACAAACTTGGCAAGATATGTGAGAAAAATTACATAAAAAGAGAAGTGTATGTGTTAAAACATTTGACTTGGATATCCAAATGTTGAGGACTAGTTGGATCATGCACAGATAGATATACGATACTGTTTTGCTTCCAAAGACATGTCAAGCTATGCAGAGCAGCATCCAGCCTTTTTAACGGCGGAGACGTCGTCCCTTCCGCCCACATTGATCGTCTGCCCCTTGGGCAAGGCTGCAGGGTCATCACCAATCTCAAGAGTCTTCCTACTGACAACACGATATATCTGAGTGAGCACTTCTGTGAAAGCATTATCAACATTTAAGGACTCAAGAGCAGATGTTTCCATAAAAAATGTGTTTTCTCTCTCGGCGAATGCCTTGGCATCATCGGTGGCCACGGCACGCAGGTGACGAAGATCTGCCTTGTTTCCCACAAGCATAATTACAATGTTGGCATCTGTGTGATCCCTAAGCTCCTTTAACCATCTCTCCACGTTTTCAAAGGTCACATGTCTGGTAACATCGTACACAAGTAATGCACCAACAGCTCCTCGATAATATGCACTTGTGATTGCACGATATCTGTGGCAAATAGCAAGAATGAAACTGATGTATATACAGCATTATGGATACATATAATGTATCCAGTTATAATTAATAAATATCATGTTGCAGAAGAAAAATCACTGCAAGTTTATAAGAAAAGCACAGCTATATTACGAATATGATCATTGTAAACGGATTTTTAACAAAATTCAAACTATCTCCTTGTTTTATTTGAGTAAAATCCTATTTAGTCCTCCAAAGATACAATAGTTATAACTGAGTCCTTGAAAGAATTTGACATCAAGCTAGTTCCTCAATCATGTAAAGTGACATTGAATTGGTCCCTTTGTATAAAGATTGAGATTGAGGGGCTGTTCTTTCCATAATTGATAGACTGAATTGATGCCGACTTTGTATAATTGAAGGACCATATTGATGTTAGTTCTATGATTGAGGAACTAAATTTATGTCAAATTTTTCGGGTTACCAAATTGATGTCACTGTCTATGACCAGGAACTAAATTGGTGTCAATTCTCTTTGAAAGATAAAAAAAAAAAAAAAAAAGTGGTGCCACTTTTATATGTTGGGGACTAACATGGATGTTTACTATTTTATTTACTACATACCACTTATATGAAGACAAGATAAGGCTTGATTCCTTTCCACTCTCATTGTGTGCAAAACCATGTTTGTTCATGTGCACACCATTCACATTGGCAAATGAAACTAAACCGAAGTATCACATTAAATCACACACCCAAATAGAAATAATCAACCTAATTCTACACCACACATCACGAAGAGCTAACACACTCCTTTAATTATCAGAAATTTGAAACAATCATATCTTGGGAGTTAACTGGTCACTGACTCAAAGCTTTACCTCATTTCATTTAAAACAAGTGAGAATATGAATACAAAGCAAGCCAAACTTGAGAAGTCAGGCAATCATTTTCACTTTTCCTCTCGTGTCAACTTCCCATAATATATCACAAAATACTATAATAAAAAAAGTAAATTGGCATGTTGAAAAACCGCAAATTTTGCAAAAAAAGTCAATGCACGCGAAAGAAAAAATCAGGCATTATTTAACAGAGGCATAGATGCCCTAAACTTTGGCCAACTCTTCAATAATTCATCTACAGAATTGTTATATCATTCTGCCAGCTTCCAAGGCTTGAAACCACAGCAAAGGGAAAACAGTCTTCAATCCGTTCATCATTTTACTATAATCATAAATTGCTTCGCACATACATCCACAATGCCATAAATTATATGAAATAGCAAAATGACCGGTGCGCTAATCAACCCCACCCCAGAAAAATACGGATGATGCTCTACATCAAATCTAATGCATATCCCACGTTTGCAATCTTAAAAAAACAAAACAGAGCAAAAAGAATATTGCTTCATGTTTCAATTCAATGTCCTCATCACCCAGATCAAAAAGAAAGATTACCCCCCAACCACTGTTTTGTTTTTAATGCAATATTCATCATTGTCAATCAAATCCCACGTCTTTTTTTTTTCTTTTTTTAAATAACAAAATCCATTAATCTTCAATCAAACCCCACAAAACTTTGGTCCACATAAAGCATTTCCAAACATCAAATGACCGACCACAAAATCGAAAAAAATTAAAAAAATCCAATAATAATAATAATAATAATAATAATAATTATTATTATTATTATTATTATTATTATTATTATTATTATTATTAAAGAAATCCCAGATGGAAAGAGATCCGAATCAAATTTTTTAAAAAAAATGTAACCTTTCTTGGCCTGCAGTGTCCCAAATTTGCGCCTTTACAATCTTGTCATCAACGTGAATGCTGCGTGTGGCAAATTCAACGCCAATGGTGGATTTGGATTCCAAGCTGAATTCGTTTTTGGTGAATCGAGACAAGAGATTCGATTTACCAACGCCGGAGTCTCCGATCAACACAACCTTGAACAAGTAATCGTAATCATCATCCGCTCTGTACGCACCCATTTTCCCTTTTTCTTCTTTGGCGATTGTGGCTTTCAAAAGATCGAATTTTAACCAAATGGGTGCCTTTGTTTATTCGTTTTAAAGGCCTTCTTCAATTGGGTGACTGCGTATAAAGCTTTCAAATTTCAGCATTGGAATTGGGGAGAGAGAGAGAGAGAGAGTTCTTACAGAAGGATGAATGGAGGGAGAAGCATTCAAAGCTGAAATGATATTTGTTTCTGCCTTCAGATTGAAACACAATCAATCAAATGGTTTGTTTTTGTTTCTTTTTACCTCCCTAGTAGGTCTCGTCTATTTTCCTTTCTTCCTTTTTATATTCAGAAAATGAAGGAAAAGCCTCCAAAATTAACTACTTCTTTTCTTCTTTTCTTCTTTGCCAATAGAGAGGAGAATGACTTCCTAAACGAAATTAGGTTTAAATTTGATATATTATTTTTAAAATAAAAAAGTAATGATATGCTTTTAACTAGATAACTTTGAAGTTACACCTAACTTTTATTTTATTTTAATGACTTATTTTTGTTAAAATTAAAATTATAACTCTGTTGTTATCTAATACTTTTGCTTCACGGATAAATAATCATGTTATTGCGAATCTATATTTCAAGTTTATTGGTAAAATAGTATCATTAGCCAATTATTTAATAATTTCATCTTTATAATCGAAGTATAAGATTATATTTTTATTGAACTAAAGTAGAAATAATAAGTTTAGCACGATAGCTTATTATTAATAACGAGATTGTTTCTCATCCATGTTCCACTTTTCTCTATTAAAAACGGGTTTAATTAGTGTTTATGACTCATTCTTATTTTTCAATTCTATCATATATATGGCCAAATTAAAATTTAAAAGTATTTATATTTAATAGCTGAAAAAATAGAAAAGGTTAGAAGTGTAATTGTAAATATTGGAACATTTTATTTTTGCTGATCAAATGTGTTATGACAAGCCAAAATAGGCGAATATTTTGTGAAGATAGAAAACCATTGTAGCTATGATATAATTAAAATAATACTAGTATACCTTTCTTATACCGTTGGGTAGGTAGCATGGAAATCAAATTCTACTCAAGACGGCAAAAATACCCAAGTCATTGATGTCAATGATGTGAACCTAGGCAGGTTCCTCAGGGAGGGGTTTCAAACTTTAAATAACTTTTATTTTATAAAATTAAATGTAGTTAAGATTCAATTTGAAGTAATATAATGTAGGTCCATGTTTAGATTTATCTCAAAATTAAATTTAGTGTAAAATTTTTGTTTCGATTTTTTAACACTTCTACTTAAATTTGCTTTCTAAGAACAAACTTGATTTTTCTTTTATACATGTTTAAAAAGCTCAAAATCGCACCTGGGGTCTTCCAATGTGTGTTTAGGAAGATGCAACACTCCCCCAAACACACTATAAGCCAACAAATGTTCAACTTGACATAAATAAATCTATGTGCTAAATGATTCAAATGGGGCTTATTTAATTTTTTTTAATATTTTTAAAAAATGAATTGTTAAAATAATATTTTTTAAAAACATTTTTTTCTATTTGAAGACTTTTTTTCACATCATGCACAATGTGTCTTCACTTATTTTTAACTGTTCAAATTCAAATTGAAATTAAAAAATAATAATAGGTTTTACCTACAATACAAATAAAACTTGTTAACAATTGTTATCGCTTAAAGTTTCGTTCTTTTAATATATAAAATTATTTAAAAAAAAGAAAAAGAAAAAAGAGTTCCATACTTATTATATATGAAACTTGTAATAATGTGATAAAAATGTTTTAAAATAATATTATTTTAATAATTTTTTTAAACAAATAAAAAAAACCTCCAAATAGAGGATCTAGCCCTTAAGATGTTGTATATTTATTAGAATATGTCATTTTCATTTCATAGATATATTATCTAAAAGGATTTTTTTTTTAAATTAAGAGAATATTATATATCATTTTATATGTGTAATAATTTTTATTATTAATCATATATTAAATATGTATCAAGAAGGTGAATGTTAGTGATTTATTTTTAAAAAACAAAAATATCTTTTAATATTTAAAATATTAAAAAAATCACAACCCTTAATTTAAAAAGAATATATAATATCTTCTCAAATATACAAGTATTTTAACCATCTTCATTCTAAGAAATCCATTGAACTCAGTGCTTATGTTAAGAGAACTAGTATTTCCCTACAGACCTTGCACGAGTCAAAAGTTGTTGCCATTGTTTCCTGGCCAAAAAAGGAGTCACCTTATACTTGTGCATCAATAATGAGTCACCTTCTGCGTACTGCTTCTCTTGTTACAACCACCGTAGAAACATAAAGACTCGTCTCAACTAAAATCAGAAGAAATGACACATTTTCTTAAAGGCCTCACGCTTGCTGTAACGTGATTTTGAAATCCTGGCCAGCCTGTTATAGTTAAAGTTTGGAAATTTATTTATGTGATCAATGAACATATCACACACATCATAGACAATGAGAACGTACTAAATTTATGAAATATGAAATGCTAAGCATTCATGCAAGTGACACTCACGTAAAAGTTGGAAAAAAAGACATAAGATATGTTTAACCTTTAGGTTAACTTTTACATAATAAAAATTTAATAAAACTTTAACAAGTAAAAAATAACACATGCATCTCTATTTTCTGATAAGTTTTCTTATCAAAATAAATTATTTATAACTTACAAAAAAAATCATTTTTTATATTAATTTTTTTCCTCTACAAAAGTTTACACAAACTGGCCATAAGCCAACAAAGAAATTCACTTTTATTTTACGATAAAGATGAAAATGTAGACTTGGAGAAAAAGTGAATTGTACAGATATCAATACATGCGTCATGCCGACCACCACAAATAATTTTGGGGTACAGCACAAAGACTGGTAAAGGAAATGTCAAAGTAAACCATAAAACTCATGAGCAAATAAAATATCCTTTCTCACCTTTGAATTTAATCTTTTAAATAAACGTGCTTGGTAAGATATTACATAACAATGAGCAACTTGTTCTATTGCCAATTATTAACCATTTCTTAGAAAATACAAAAATTGAGTTACCTCATCCCTACCAAAGAATATTTCTTTCTGCGGAGCCTGTAATACAACACATGAATTATAGCGAACCTAGGAAAGAAAACATTTGCTTATAATGACTATACCATATACTGAACAAATTAATGTTACAAAATTTAATCGAGGATAAACTCATTATTCCTTTGGCCTTTTACTCGTGCCTTTTTGTCCTCTTCATTCCTTTGGCCTTTTACTCATGGCTTTACGCTTGTTAACATCAAGGTATTTTTTACGTAAACGGATGGCCTTTGGTGTAACCTACACGAAAACAAAAGAAAACATATTAGAAACGTAACAGTGAAACAATCAAGAAATGTTATTGCGGCCAAACGAACATCACCCAAATAAGTCAGTTACAAGCATTATCAACTCAGCATATGTAGCTAAAATGAAGAATCAAAAAGAGAAAATACAGATAAACTTTTATTGGGTTTTGACAATTGGGTTGACAGGGACTAGGGGTTGAAGCACCGATACATCTTTTTATCAAACAATATCAGGGAAAACTTTTTATAACGATAATAAATTGCGGGCTGAAACTTACCTCAATCAGCTCATCCGAAGCAACATATCCTATAGCTTCTTCAAGCGTCATCTGCAAATCAAATAACCTCAGATGTAAGAAAACATGTTACATGTTAAGCTCAAGGACCATCATGATATTCTCACTTTTTCGCTAACTACTTTTCAATTACATACACTAAATACTTCATGCAGCCTCAAGTGCTGCCAGTCTAAAACATAAAACGTGCAAGGTTTCCTTGAAAGATATTGCCATAAATGCACTGTGGAATCCAAGAAACCAAAGGACATAAACCGTATTGAATTTGATAGTCTGTTATTTCACCGAATTGATAGACTTCAAAACTCATCTCCATTTTAAACATGCTTTGTGCTTGAAAACCATGTGACAAAAAAAAGAAAACATTTTTGAACTTACAAAAATTATTTAAGAATATTTATTGCCTATGCTCTCTGCTGACAGTAAACATACAGCAGCTTCAAATATTCTCGCTGTCCAGTCAGAGGTGAAAATTTATTTGCATTTTGAATTTCCAAAAGCAGTTGTCATATACTCATACAGAAAGTAATAGACCTGATATTTAAAAGTAACACACTTGTCTAAAATATCAAGACTTAGGAATATAATTTTGTAGATAAACACATACAAGGCGAGGAGGAGACAGCTTCACATTTTCGTCCTTTGCAGCAGCACGCACATTTGTAAGTTCTTTAGCCCTCACTGGATTAACCTGAAATATTACTCTTTGTCAGTGAGTCACCAACTTTGACATAACATCTGCATTCAGGCTAAGAATACTTCTTACATCAAGATCTGTATCCCGTGAGTGCTCTCCAACAATCATTCCATCATACGACTGTAAACAAAAATAAAAAGTATTATAGACAGCATAAACTTATATATGCAATAAAAGCAAAAAAATAAGAATCACAAAGTGTTTAACCAAAATTTGACAATAAAATACCCACCTAAGAAAAATCATAGCAAGATTGATAGCAAAAAACTATTTTACTTGAAAATCCTCTTTCCAAATTTATCTTCTTTAGCAATCCCAAACTCCCTAGATGAATAAAGGATAAATGCAGCAAAAAAAACTACATGGACTAAATCAATTAATGCAATCTAGTAAATAAATATTAATAATCCTCATTCAGATAAATTTTTAAGCTAAGTATAGGCAAGAAAAACAAGTGGACACAATGCTTGTTATCAGAAATTCATCTTCAATATATGTGTACAATGAACTCATCATCAACCCATAGTAGGAAAAACAGTATGTGAAGGAGGTAACACAGATTTATTTATTTATTTTTAAGAGGAATGGGGATTAAAAATTGAAAATTGCAATGGAGACATAAGCAGCATATTATATTTGCTTCACAAAAATCAGAATTTCAAATTCAAAGTAATAAAGATACAGAAGAAAGTCATATCATTATGCATAATCCATGAAAAAGAGGTAAAAAGTTCTAACCTCCATTCCAGGAGTTACAAAAAGAGTCCCTCGAGCTTCTAAGCTCATCAATGCATGAGCTGTGATTGTACCAAAACCCATTGACACCTGTTCAATTAAACAAACGACATTGGGTAATGGGTAGACACAACAAATAAGACCCCTCAAAACAAGCTCATTGAAACACAAGTATACGGTATGAGTAGTAATTCA